CAGGCCACAGTGAAGGCGTCTCTCTCCATCCAGTTCCTGAACCAGAGCATTAACCTTGTGCGTCAGGCCCAGGTGGATGTCCACCTTGAGGCGGTCACTCTCACCTGGGGCCTGGAGCCTGGGCTCCCCGGGCCTGCCTGCAGCCTCGTATCCTCCTTCTTCAGGGCACACAGCGGCAGCGCTCCTGGGTCAGCTGGGCCAGGCTTCCCGCCAGCCACCCCTCCATTCTGCGGTACCGCCCACTCCTCACACATGGGGCCAGAACGGCCAGCAGCATCGGGGCCCTGAGGCCCAGTACAGGCAGACACACCTGCAGGGAAGACCACCGAGTGGACACTGAGGACTCATGGCCCCTGGGGGTGGCAGCACCAGCAACTTCCTGAGAGAAAAGGCCAGATTCGAGAGCCACACAGGACAGGACAGTCCCTCCATGGCTCTAACTGCCCACAGGGACCAGCCAGTCACCATGGACACAGACCTGTCCCGGAACCCAGCAGCACTAACCATTCTGGATGGGCCAAGTGATGTGGTCTGTGGGGGTGGGCGGAGGGGCAGGAGGGAATGGAGTGGGATTCCCCCATGGCTGTCCAGTGTCACCTGTCCCCTTAGAGAGTTTCATTCAAGATGAAACTGTCCAAGCACATGAAAGCCTTTGAAAGGGCCCAGGAGAGAGCTCAGAGGGGCAGTGTGGATGCTGGTGGCCTGGGCTCTACCCCTACCATCTTTGCTTTTCCTGAACACTGCAAGAGTTGATGTCGATGGGCCCCACAGGTGGCTCATGTGACGTGGGGAGGAGAAAGATGGTCACTTTCTCTGGATCCGCCTCTGCTACCCGGGATGCAGGGTTACTAGGTTCTGGTCTCACCTCGCAGAAAGGAATTTCAGGAGTAAACGAGCAGTGAAGTAAAACAGATTTTATTTGGAGGTTTTGAAGAGTAGGAGGAAAAGAAGTGGGAGAGAGTGGAGAGTAACTTGTTCAAGAGAGAACCCGGGCATCTCCAAGGGCAGAGAAAGCCCCTACACGTATCCCGGCAGTAGACATGAAAGCATGGAAGTACACATCTCAAGAGGAAAGATGTTGGCGACATGTGTGCTCGGGCACCACATGTGCAAATAACACATAGGCTTGGGCAGCATATGTGTGGCCTTCCTTTGTTCAAGGTGGCCTTTATAGGGTTTCTCAAACCTGCCCCCACGTGGGCTTCTATCTAGGTACGAGTCCATTGCTAAGGCGGTTACCAAGGGTTAGGGGAGTGGTGGTGGCCTACTTTGAAATTCCTTTCCTGGCCTTTTGTTCCTACTGGAGCTTCTGTGGGACGGGGTGGGGGGGGGGGGTTGTCAGCCTTCTCTGGGTCTCTTGCAGGTGCCTGATGAGGGTCTTACTAGGCCTTAGTTTCTATTTTCTCTAAGGTTGGCCTTGGCATCTTCAGGGCTATTCCCAGGAAATTTGCTACCATTGCTTGGGAGGGGGGCCTTCCCTATCTGCCTGCCTGCCTACATCAAAGTGACCCCCAAACATGGTGCCTGGAGTAACTTCTGAGCACAAGCAGGAGTGACAAAAAGTAAACAAGCTGAAACTAAGCTCCCAGCATGGCTCAGGGACTATTTCTGCCTCTGTGCTCAGAAGTAACCTCGCATGGAGCACAGGAGACCATATGCGGTGTCTAACCTTATGTTAGCTCTCTTCCCTCCCACGGCACCCCACTACCACATTTGGTGTTAGTTTTTGGCCTATTTTTTTGCACAGTGCTCTGCTGACCATGTTGTGCCTGGAATCAAGACCACATGCCAGCCATGCACTCTAGTTCTTTAGGTTATCTCCCCAGCCCCTGAAGCCACTAAGATTTTTGATGTTGCTGTTGGGCTTTTGTTTTATTTTGTTCTGGGTTTTGGTGCTCCCCCACCCACCCCACTCCCCTCCACCCTTTTTTTGTTTTGCAGAGTAGGGAATGGGGGAATAGAACCAAGATCCTCACACATGCCAGGGAAGCACTCCGCCTCTTCACCAAACCCCTTTGACTCCATTTTAACTTCTATTAACATCTACTCAGCTGGAGGCTCAACTTGATATCTGTAAATAACATAGTTCATCTCCATGGCTGTCTCTTTTGCTTCAAGTCATGATTTCAAATGTTTTTATTAAAAACAAAAATCTTATCATGGGAGAGGATGGGGCTGTTTGCTGGTCTGTCTTGACTAGAGGGCTCAGAGGTGGGGGTGGGGGGAGGCCGTTCTGCTCCCCTGCCGCATCCCTGGGCCAAGCACTGCACGTGGCACCAACAAATGTCAGTGATGCTTGAAGGGAAGCATCAGTGAGTGCTGATCTCTTAGAAAAAAGAGAAGGCGCACAAAATCTCATACTGTACACAGAGGAGAGAGACAGACAGAGAGATGGGCAGACTATGGTCACTGCTGATGATCCATTTGAGTTGGCGTCAATATTCCACTAGGGGGCACAATAGGAATGTTTCAGATTTCTCAAAAAGACAAAACAAGTTAACTGGGCATTCCCAACCTACTTTGAACAAAAAGCGAATTTCAAAGTTGTTGATGATTTTGTTTTGCATTTGAATAAATTCCTCCTTTGGTCCACTGGAGAGAGCAATAGCTGTGTAACCATGAATTTGAAGGCCTTGGTACAGGTAGGGATTTTCAACTTGGGCTTATCATGAATATTCAGAAACATGATTTACCTCAAAGTTCACATCAACAGCTGGAAACCAGATGGGAATCTTTCTTCTTAAATATTATAACTGGGGATGGGGGAGCGATAGAGACGTGGTACTGGGCTTAAGGAGCTTGCCTTATACCTAACCAACCCTAATTCAATATGGTCTCTGAAAACCGCCAAGAGTAACATCTGCGCATAGAGCCAAGAGTAAACCCTGAACTTGCTAGCTATGGAAATAAACATCCAGCAAATAAACAATCAAAAGAAGATAATTCTGGAAATGACCTAGGAAAGGATCAAAACTGAGATGTGCCCAACACTCACCTCTCAATGTCTTTTACAAATGAAACCCCCAGACATTAATTCCCCTTTCCCAGTACCCTGATTCAGTGAGTCTGAGAGAAGTTCTGGAATCTGAGGTTTTCTAAAGTGCACCCACGTGATTTGTTTGAAGCTGACATAGGACTGTGGAGCTCTCCTTCAGAAACATTGACTCATCGGTTTTATGGAGGAGAAAACTGAGATGTCAGTGATCATCCCAGATATTCTCCCCAGATGTAGTAAGCGGGTGTGCCAGGACTGACCACAGGACAGCTGAAGTGACATGTGAGAGAAAGAGAATTGGAGACCTAGGATTCCTTTTCGGGCAGTTCATCTTGCTCCTGAATCACTTCGCTTGAGTGAATGGCATTTTCTTATCTGCAAAATGCAGAGCAATATAGATGCATCTTAAAGAGTGAAGGGAAAGGGGACATACAAGTTTTAAAGGACTTGGAAGAAGACAGAAACAGAGTCCTTGACAAAATGGGATTGTTTGCTATGCACTTTCTACTCCACTATTCCATTTTAAAACAAGAATTTCTAAGGAATTACCATGACACCACCTTAGCAGACAGCCTTTCCTATACCAGCCTACATAAATTTCACCTAAGTAAGCTTTACCTAAGTGAAACTTACTGTCTAGAGCAGATCACCGTTCATGATAGATATGGAGTTATAATCATAACCCATCTAACCTAGGGAAAACGTAGGGGGTGTTTTGAATTACTTAAGGAAGAATTGATCCTAGTCTGCAGACAACTAACAGATCCTTGAGGAAATGACTCAAGGATGAGTAGGAGTCAAGAAATTATGCATGAATAAGGAAAGAACTTGGCAGAAGCAAGAAAATAAAAAAGGCCAGCACTGCTGGTGTGGCGTGAGCAGGCAAAGTGGCATGACATTAAGCTGAGAGCAGTATTATTTCTGGGAAATCTTCTCATTTCTTGTCTTAACATTTATTGAAAATCTTGATCTTTTCTTTCATGTTTTGTTCCTACTTCAAACTTTCCCATTTTTTTGCAGTGAAAAGCAAATCATAATAGTATTACTTCCTCAGAGCTAATATGCATTTTGCAGTTTCTGTCACTCAAAAAATAGGTATTGTTTAATAATAGGGTCAAAAAAACAAGCACATAAAAAATTCTGTTTAGTACTGGCAAAGCTTTTTGCAACTTTGTCTCCTCTTTTTCCCCTTCTACCTCCTAAAGTCTAGGATTATCTTGGGCTGGGAAAAGCTAAAACAAACTGGCCTGAGACTTATTTGGAGGGTATGAGGTTCTCTCTCTGGGAGAAGTTGCCCTCCTGCATTCTCTTGCTCTGACTGAGCCAATTCAGAACCTTTAGAACACTTTTGCACTGAGAAGCACCCAGTGCCTGACCGGACAGTCCCAACCAGTGGACGCTACTCCTAGTGTTCTTACTCTTCTTTACCATGATAAAATTAACCCCTCCTCTCCTGCAAAAACAAAACAAAACAAAACCAACCAACCCTCCTTACTACCTTATAAAGACATTTGTATCCCTATGCATATTACTTCACAATTAACAGTAGCCCAAATCTGGAAAGAACCTAAATGTCCATAAACAGAGGATTGGAGAAAGACTCTGTGGTATCTAGACACAGTGAAATACCACTTGGCTACGGGAAAGAAGAAATCATGAAATTGGCTGTTGCCATGGATGAATCTGGAGAGTATTATGCTGAGTGAAGTTAGCCAGAAGGAGAGGGAACAGACACAGAATGATCTCTTTCATGCGTGGAATATAAAGCAACATAGTGAGGGAATAACCAAATGGACAAAGCTGGTGGACCCCAAGGTGAGGGAAGACCCCCACCGACAGAGCAGCCCAACCGCACAGTGGCAGGAGACTGCGCAGGGCGGGGCAACCTGGAGGGCGTGTCCGGGCGTGTCCGGGGCGGGGCAATTGGAAGGGGCGGGGTATTGGGCGTGTCCTGGGCGGGTTAGGGGCGGGGTAACCAGGAGGGGCGTGGCCTGAGCGACGAGCGCCGGGTACCCGGACAGTCCGAGGGTACGAACTCGGGCCGGCCATGGGCCCCGCGACGCGGCTTGCGTCTCTGCTGCTGGCACTGGCGCTCGGCGCAGGGGACCCGGCAGGGGCCGCGACGCGGGGGGACACGTTCTCGGCGCTGACCAGCGTGGCGCGTGCGCTGGCGCCTGAGCGCCGGCTGCTGGAGCTGCTGCGGCGCTACCTGCGCTGGGAGGAGGCGCGGCTGCGGGACCTGACCAGGTGAGACGGGATGGACAAGACGGGGCGACTGTCCCAGGGCGAGCCGAGCCCCGACACAGTGCCACGGGCTGGGGAGGGACTCTGGCGCTCATTGGCAGGGGTCGCAAATCCAGTGTCCACCATGAGGATTCCTGGGACGCTGTGGGCACAGCCCAGGGGCACCCCAGGTACAGCATCACACAGCAAAGCTGAGAGTGTAGGAGAGTGTGGGGCGACTCTGGGTCACGCAGGACACCCCAGGGCTTGAGTCTAGGCTGGTGAGACTAAAGGCGCACTGCCATACACAGTGGGATGGGCAGAAAGAAGTGACAATGTGCCCCCCCCTCTGTTGCTCACACACACACACACACACACACACACACACACACACACACACACACACATACGTGTTCTCCATGTGATCTGGCGAGTGAATGTTTGCATGAGGTAACAATCCATGTCTGGATGGGACAATTTCATGTCACTGGGACTGGTGGGGCTCGGCACTTGGAATGTCACATGGCAAGATCCCCACATTGTCCCATATGAGTAAGACTGTGTGTTCATAAATGCCTGTGTGTGAGCCCGTGCTGATCTCGCACTGGGGTACAAGAGAGTGAACAAGACCCAGCCTGCCCACTGGGGGCCTGGAGTCTGTGGCATCATGATATGGCACCCTTCTCTTGACACCTTCCAGAGCTGTCAGTAGGAGCATGACAATGGAGAGGTTGCCTGGGTAGGAAAGTATTTGAAACCAAGGAAACACGGGAGCAAACCGTAACTGATGTCAGAGGACACCGACTCGTTCGGACAGGAGGATGCTCAGCCAGTATTGCTTTGTTGTGTAATAACACTCTAGTGCTGTCACACGCTAATGCTCCACGCTGTGAGGTGAGCTTCTGTGAGCTTTGGAACACGGTAAGCATGGACTGAGACACTAGGAAGAAGTGATTATATATGGCTGCATATGTAGGAATGTTGCCTGAGACACTGAGAAGCCCTCAAAGTGAAAACCAGCAGGGTAACCACTACACCAGTGGGGGTAATATTAAGCCATCTGAATGTATTCATATTGCTCTGATGCTGCATGACCCTGCACGGAATACAGATGACACTGCCAGTAGGTGTATGTGTGTGACAGTCATCCCCATCCTAAGGTGTGTGGGAAGGTGTTTGTAAGGGAACACTGACAGATGAGAAGACTTGTGGACATTATAGATAGGCCATGTTGGTATGTGGAAATGTGGGAGTGAAATCTTGTGTGCTACTTACTGGTGGCTGAAGGCTGAGATAATTTGGTACATGGTACACGTGTGTAGCTTGCATATAAGCAGTTATACATAATTAATTTACTGTTAGTTTGAAATAGCTTGATAGATATAAACATGTGCATTACCTTTAACAACATATTCGAACACTGTCAGTAATTCTGCCACCTGTAGAGGTAGGTAGCATGGGACCTATTCTCTGGGCTCTGTTGATAGAACAAAATGTTTTTTTCATGTGTTCTGAGGTCAGAATCTTAGGGATCCAAGTTCATTGTTAGAAATAGGACAGACTTTTCCTCTTTGGTTTCAGATCCTGCAGTGCTCCCTTGGCATGCATACGCTGTTGCCATATCACTCATCTTTCATTCCACTCTCTGTGGGTAACTCAGAGGGAGATGGGCTATGCTCAGAATCCTGGTCCTGGGATCTCTCTGGGAACAGAGTAAGCAGAAGGACAAAGCAGTTCACCAGGGTACCCTCTGCACGCTCCTCTCTTTCACTGTCATCAGTGTTGTCCTTGTCACAGCTTTTCTTCAGTGGGATGTCTTTGCACACACCTTATGTCACTTGATTCTCATACACAATGCTTTGAAATAGTTTTGTATTATTCTTTTCATAACATGGGAGTCATTTAAAAGGTTAGAATATGTTAATTCAGTGCCTTATCCAAGATTACAAATCGAGTGGGTACAAAATCCAGGTCTAGGATACAATTCTTCTGGTTGTTTCTTTCAATTGTACTATAACATCCCAACTTTGTGCTTTCTCTAATATGCCAGGACCCAAACCAAGCCCCATAACTCCTGAAGTTTTATGAGCATCTGGATTATATAGTGGTTATGCGTCTGGATTCAGGAGTTGAACGAACCTCTGTGTGAATTCTTGGCTCTGATGCTGACCAGTTTCTTTTACTTCTTTATATATTAGTTTTCTAACCCATAAAATGATGATAATGATAGTGCCTTTTCCTGTAATGTTGTTAAAAAAGATTTAAGACTGCATAAAGATGTCTGTCATTGTGTTTGAAATGCACTAATTGCTCAATACATACTGGCATTTTATCAGCATTATTTATTTTAATATTCACTGGTAAAAGTAGTCTCCCCTTTTGGTTTTAAGCATTAACTAGGATTATAAAATCCAGGTAATAAGACAGAACAAGAAAATTCTATTTTTTTTTTTTTTTTGCTTTTTGGGTCACACCTGGCAATGCACAGGGGTTACTCCTGGCTCTGAACTCAGGAGTTATTCCTGGCGGTGCTCAAGGGACCATATGGGATGCTGGGAATCGAACCCGGGTTGGCCACGTGCAAAGCAAACATCCTACCCACTAGAACAAGAAAATTCTAGATTCCCTTCTCAGATGACTTTTCAGTGTTTTGTTTTATAGTTTACTTTGATATTTCAGTGACCGTTTCTTAGTAAATGTTCATGGTTAATTTTTAAAACAAGAATTTTGGCAGTTTCTATATATATAGTCCTATATTTCTAATCTAGTGATTTTCTGTATCTTGCGATGTTGTTCCTAAGGAGCTTAGGAACAACATCTTGAATATCTAAATAGGATTTTCTTTGATGCCAGGCATTGGAAGGTAACTCTGCTCACCACTATACCATCAATGCCTCCCTGAATGCCAGGGATGGAGCCTCTCAGCCTTGCACAGCAAGTGCTGTACTGCTCAATTCCATCTCTGTTCCTTCTTTTCCTCTTTTTTTTCCATACCAAAGGACCAAACCTAGGGCTTATGTGGTCAAGACATGTACTTTACAGCCAAGCCAAAATGCTGGCCAAAATGGAATCTTTTTAAATGTCGAAACTACTCCCTAACCCAAGGTATTAAATAAAAATTATACAAGTTATCATTTCCACAGTTATACACTAATATATGGTATTTGAGCACATAACTAATATGGAATTAACTAATGTTGTTCAATAGTTATCCCCTAGCTGTTGTTGCAGCCTTAAACACCACCAACATGAAGAGTTTATTCATTTATTTCTGTAAGAAGAATTAAGCATTCAGATGATCTCAGAAGAGCTGAAACAAATCATCTCTGAACTGCTGGGGAGAAGCATATTGAATTCAAATAGCTCTTGCATTGCTGTTGCAAAATCCGCCCAGACGATGTTTCATGCAGGCATTGGATTGCATATTTTATGTGCGGATTTTTGAGGGAAAAGATCTGATTTTCCACTCTCAGCAGCATTTGTTTGAATTTAGCTTCCAGTAACTTGGTCTTTGGAAACCAGCTATTTGCTTAGAGACTGGGCATAAAGCCAGCATTTAGATTCCAAACCAGCCTCAGATATCAGTTATTTTTTTTCCCTAGTGTGACAGAAAATGCATAGTTAAATACTGAGTTAAAGCATTGCTATAGTTTAAAATCAAGCCCAAGTCTAAGAGAATTGGTCCCCAGTACAAGGTGGGCTGCCCTGAGAACACGATGGAGGTTGTGCGTGTCATCTGAGATGACTTGGAAAAGAATCATCTCTCTGCCTCATTTCTGTCTCTTGGTGTCTGTTTCCTTTTTAAAAAATTTATTTTGGTTTAGTTTCTTATGCTATACCTGAAGTACACACAGTTATTCCTGACTCCATGCTCAGGGAACCAACCATAAATGGTGTCCTGGAATCAAACTGGGGTCAGCAGGATGCAAGGCAAATGCCCTAACCCTTGTCCTGTCCCTCTGACACAACCTCAGTTTCTGCTAGAGTAGGTCCCTCCTTTCTTTCACATAGGAAACTGAAGGATGTTGGGGGCTGGCCAGGACACATCACAGTTCTCCTTCCCATCCAGCTGCCTTCTAATATCATCAAATCACTGCCCACTCAGCCTCACTTGTCACTGGACACTTACTTTTCAGGCTGGCCTCAAGCCGTAGTCTCTAAGTTTTTTCATGTTGCAATAGAATATGTTTTACTAAGTAGAACCATATGGAGCTGAAAGCTGGAAATAATGGTTAACTTACCAAAAAAAAAAAAAAAGACACCCTGGCTTCCAGTTTCCTCCTTGGGGTCCTCAGGCTCATAGTCTCCTAAGTTTGGCTCCCTAAAAGCCCCACAAAGGAAATCAGGTTCATTATTTCTGTGCTTGTTTAGTTGATTGAGGTTCTGCGATTTACAGTACTGTGAATGATGGCTTCCCATGCACATAAATCTAACACTGCACCCCTCACCAATGTACCACCTTCCACCCGAGCACCTCTACCTTTCAGTTACTCCCGGAACTCAACTGTGTGGATCAGTTCTCCTATTGTATCGCCTTTGGCTATTTGCTGCTACTTAACTGTGTAACTTTCTGCTTTGTGGGGGGCCATCCCTGGCAATGCTTAGAGGTTATTCCTGGCTTTGCACTAGGATTGAACCTAGGTCAGCCGTGTGCAAGGCCAGTGCCTTACCTGCTATGTTATCTCTTTAGCCCCGAGCTGTTTCTGTAAGTCCCACAAATGAGAGATATCTTACTGTGTCTGTCTCTTTCCTTCTGACTGGCTCCACTCATCATGATATCCCCTAGTTGCATCTCTGTCGTGGCACGTTGCTTGATTTGGTTCTTCTTAGGTGAGCTTCTCTTTAGACTCCATTTCAGTGCGGAGGTCCCTACCCTTAAGGAATCCTTAGCTTAGACATTGCTCAAAAAAACAGATCCTCTCCCAGGAGGGGAGATGCATGTCGAAAGTAGACTATGGACTGAACATGTTTGCCACTCAATGCCTCTTTTGCAGACCACAACACCCAAACGGAGAGAGAGAACACAGGGGATTGCCCTGCCACAGAGGCAGGGAGGGATGGGGGGATGGGGGTGGGAGGGATATTAGCCATGGTGGTGAAAAACGGGCACTGGTGGAGGGATGGGTATCTGATCATTGTATAATTGAAACCCAAGCCCAAAAAATTGTAAATCTACAACTGTAAAAAAAAAAAAAAAAAAAAAAAAAGAAAAGAGAAACTCTCAGGGAAAATCCATGATGGTTATTAAAAGCATGATTTTGGATTTGGGACCTAGCACGCACACCTGTAAGGAAATTATTATTATTTAAATTATTAATGAATCAATAATTTTCATTATATAATGAAAATATGAGAGCTTTTGAAGGAAAAAATAAAACAGATCCTGCTTCCTACCCTCACCCCCGATACCCTCCCCTCCAGTCCCTCCTTTCTTCATTTGTCCCTATTCCCCCTTGTCAAAGCCCCTTCCCCCATCAGAACACTGCTGTGCGCTCACACACATGGACAGACACCCATAGCCTTTCTTGCTCCTTTTTGCTTTTTCTTCCACTGTGATTAATTTGTGACTAATTTGTTCTTGAAATCAGTCTCTTTGGGGAGAAGGGGTTTGGGCCACAAATGTCTCTGCCTGAGGCTTACTCCAAGCTCTGTGCTCAGGGATCACTTCAGGTGGTGCTCAGGGAACCATATGTGGTGCTGGGGATCAAACCTGGGTCAGTTGTGCTACTATCTCTCTGGTCTGAAATATTTTTAAAAAGTTTTTTTTTGGGTCGCACTCAATGATGCTCAGGGGTTACTCTTGTCTCTGCACTTAGGAGTTACTCCTGGCTGTGCTTGTGGGATCATATGGGATGCCGGGGATTGGCTGCTGTGCAAGGCAAATGCCCTACCCGCTGTACTATTGCTCCAGACCTTGGTCTGAAATCATTTAAGGCAAGAGAAAAATTCTTAGAAGGCAAAACTAGAGCTCAAATATTCCTTTTACAAATCAATAAGGTTCAAGAATGTAAGTTTTAGTAGTGTGTTAAGAGATGGAATAAGCTCTGGAAAGAAAGATGGCAGCCGCATGGGAGCCTTGTGGACAGCAGGTATGAGCCGGGGGTTGGGGGCGACAAAAACCTCAAGGGAAGGGGGGCGTTCCGACCCGTCCTTCACGCCCTACCGAGGTCACCAGTTGCCCCCCACGAGCGGCTCTCCGGCACGGCCACGACTCCAGAGCACAGAAACCAATCTCTTAATTATCTGACTTTTAGTAGAAATACTTCCAGGGTTAATAAGTAAAATAGCAGAAATCCAAAACCGTGCGGCCGACAACATTTAATTCTTGAACCCAGCTGTAGGAAGCAAATCATTTCACAACGCTTTTTCAGCATGTCTGATTTGGGGGGGGGGCGGTGGTAAACTCTAAATAATAATGGTGCATCTTTATCGAAAACAATGAATCTAGTTAAAGTAGATAGAGTGTTAACTAGAACTCATCTGCCTCACAGGAATTGGGAGGGGTGGGAGGTGGGGTTCTATTGGGGTTCGTGGTAAAAAATAAGTATTGGTAAAGGGAAATGTGTTTGATATTTACATGACTGAGACCTAAACCTGAAAGCTCTGTAAGTTTTCCCACAGTGATTCAATAAATAAATAAATTATATAAAAAAAAAGAGATGGAATAACCTGGGGGCTGGAGGATATTGCAGAGGGTAGGGAGCTGGTCTTGCACACTGCCAACTCGGGCTCAATCCCTGGCACCCAGTATGGTCCCCTGAGCCCATCAGGAGTCATTCCTGAGCACAGAGCCAGGAGTAATCTCTGAGCATCACTGCACGTGACCCCTCAATAAACAACAAGACAAAGGAAATGGAGTAACATAGTTCACGGAAAAGGGAGCAGATGAGTTGATTCTGTGGACATACTCTAAGATCTAGGAAGAGGGAAATTTCTGGAGAATGGATCTCTTAGGGTTCCACCATTTTTGACTCCTCTCCTCCTTCCCACACACCCTTTTATTGTTTTGCAAATGTTGGTGAGCTGGAGGATTGGACGCTTGTCCAACAGACACCACCTCATTCCATTACAAGCACCACGAGTGTCTGTTTTCTTCTCAAAACCCTCTTCCCATTTGCTCACAGATTGATGTAAGTGGACATCTCAGAGCACTCCCACTTACAACCTACTGGTGACTCCTGATCACACTTAGGGTTAAACCCAAATTCTCAGCAGACTGAATGGTCACTTCTCCATTCTCTTACCCAGGCTCCTCATAACCCCTGGCTCCATCAATACCCATCTGCATATATTTCCCCTACTGTGGCCCTGTGGACCTTCACATGAGTGAAACTTTCTCTGCCTGCTGGGAAGGAGGCCTACTCCTTCTCCTCCTCCCTCCCTGCCTCTTAAAGTCTCAGTTCGTTAAGTCTCTCTGAAACCTTCCATGAACTATGCTGGCCCAATCAGCCTCTTGCTTTCTGCACTCACCCCCAATTCGTGTTCTGAAATCTGATGTCATGTATGTAATATAATTATCAGTGTCCATCTTCCCTCTAAATTGCAAGTCCATGCTGTTAGTTTATTCAAAGATCCCCACTAGATTTTGGAAGCATAGATTTGATTTATTCTTTCATAGATTTCCAAGTTGAATTTAGGTATGGAGTGATGAGTATAACAGCTGTTGTCTTGCCCATAGATTCACTGAGCCTTAACCCACTCTTTCCTTTGTATCAGCTTGAGTCCACTGCCTACAATAACCAGTATGAACTTGTTTCCTGGATGCAGATTTGGGGGCTTACCATTAAAGCCCAGTTACTTGAGAGACAAGCATTGCTGGAAGAAAAAACATTTATATAGGGACTAGCAACCTGAGAAGATGGTAGATTTATGTCCCTCAAAGCACCATTTTACTTGCAAATTAAGGCTGGGGAGTAACATAGGGCTGGTTGGGAAAATAGGTTTAAAGAGAGGCCGGACAGGCTGACTTCATCCAGGGTACCTAGGAGGGAGGCTGGTGAGCTCACCACCTGCCCCAACTGAACCCTGGAAACCAAAAACCTCCAGAATCCAGTGCTACCATGCTCATGGCTGATCTCCATGCATTATCCCCTCACGCATGAGAATGAATCCAATGAAAAACCCAGGTATGTGGGTTTCGTGACTGAAATCTCCTGGCTTGCCTGGAGTCGGGTACGGATGCCCACCCCTCATCTCCCTGTGCTTTCTGGTGCCTTGCAGTCACACCCACACACCGCCTCTAGTGTCTTATAATCTCATTAAAGGCCACGATCCAGAGACTCACAGATAAATTTCGGAAGAGAGCAACATGCTGCAGAGATGCCTCAGGACCCGCAAATCACCATCCAGTTAAAAATTTAACTACAGCTTTGTCACCCTATTTAAAATTTTAGAAATCCTGGAGCACCCAGCCACATTCTCAACCACACGCCATCTTATACTTTATGCCACTGATATACCAAGAGTAGCAACACATTGAATGAGGTGTAAAGTAGGAGTCAACTGATCTTGATAAATATATAATAAATATATATGTGTGTATGCATATATATGTGTGTGTGTGCACATATATGCATACAAGGCTCAACCTGTAAGAACATGTTAGTGATCTCTTATTCAGGGGCTTAATGTCTCAAGGGTGAGATGCAGAAATCTTTACATACATTCCTCTAAGGAAACTTTTTGAATCATTTTTAGCGAATTATTCATAAAAAGCAATACAAAATTATTTAGCATTTGCCATTGGAGCAGGCTTGTGTGGTGGTGGGAAAACTCAAAATAATGGTGATGGTTGGTGTAATAGTAGTGGGATTGCTGTTGAAATATTTAATGTAATTAGTTATTGTAAATAACTTTATGAAAAATTTTAAAAAATTTAAAAAGAGAGGCCAGAGAAGTAACAGCTAATAAGGTGGTTGCCTTGCACCGGTGAATGCAGATTTGATCCCCAGCATTGTACATATTCCAGTGAGCACTGCCAGGAGTGATCTCTGAGCACAAATCCAGGAATAAGTCCTGAGCACAGCCTAAGTTGTGGCACCATAACAAAACCCCAAATTTAAAAAAGGCTAAAAGAAATTTCAAAGCAGGAAGAGTTGTATCTCAGGTCCTTTAGGCAAGTGTCAGAAACAAAACAAAACAAAAACAAAATAAAACAACAAAAGCCCCACAAAAATTCAGAATAGCAAAATCCAAGGAGAAAGCAGGCTTCCTGGGCAGGTAGTTCTGGTTCATCCCAGGCTTTGCCACTCACTAGCAGTGTGCCTGCTGTGTCCTCTCCTGCAAAATGGGAGTCAGAATCTGCTCGAAGGCTTCAGGCATTAAAGGAGACTTAAATGAGACCATATTCCTAAGGCACTTTGCATGATGCCTAATACATGTAAGGGCTTGGTAAGCAGGAGCCCCAAACGTTGAACTAATCCTCAGGTGTCAGATCAGAATCCCCCCTCAGCCCTTCGAACTCCCACCAGAATTAGGTGCTCTGCTTACCAATTGTCATGGCATTACGTGGTATGATGTGCCCACCTCCCTCCATAGCTTGCCTTGCAGAATTAGAATTCACTGTGCAGTGTATTTGAGCTTGTACCAGAGACTGAGAATTGAGTGTAGTATGATGAGGAAAACATTAGTTTTTCTTCTTTGTGAGCTCCTTAAGCAGTCACCGCCCCCCTGGACTTTATATCTCTAGCATGTATCCCTTTGTCTGACTTATGGTCTTTGCCAGTAGGGACTGGCTCATGAGTGAACAACTGGGTGGCCCTAAGTTGGTTGTGTGGGTGATTTTCATATGCTTTGTGTATAATGGTTAAAATATGACATGAGCTCCAGGGGTTAAGCATTACATTCATGCACCATGGCAGCATTTGCTTGGCGTGGTGGTTGGCCCAGTAGTTGAGAAGGTTCTACTCCTCTCTTTCAGGTTTTATGAGAAGGTGCTTTCTCTGCATGAGGACTCAGCCATCACTGTGTCTAATCCTTTGCTTGCATTTACTCTCATCAAACGCCTGCAGTCTGACTGGAGAAATGTGGTGCACAGTCTGGAGGCCAGTGAGAACATCCAAGGTAACGAAGAGGAGGGCTGGGGAGTGGAGGGCGGGGAGGAGAAGATTCTGTCTCACCCAGTGACAAGGAGAGAGATTCTGATGGGATGAAACGTAATGAAGTCTTCAAGTATTGCCTGATCTGTGTAGATCTAATATTATCAAGATTAGTTGTTAACATGGTTATTAGCAATTACTGTGAGGCTGGAGAGATAGTGTAGAAGATACTTGACTTACATTCAATCAATGCCTGTTCAATCCCCAGTACCATATAATGGTCCCCTGAGTCAGGGATAGCCCTTGGCCACCCTGGCTGGAATCCAAACTACTCCTTCCAGTGATATGTTTTTTAAATGACTGTGGTTAATATGTTATACATTAGAGAGCACTTTCATTATGCTACCTCATTTTGACCTTCACTACAACCTGTGTAGAATAGTGGCTTACGTCACTCAGTTTACCTGTACATGGAAAGTAGTATCTTCTCCTCGTTTCTATTTTATGAAGTTAAGATACTATCATGTCATTGGTAACAAAAACAGTTTCCAAATTTACTCCACTTTGTACTGTGAGATGCTTGCAGGCATTCAGAAGTAGAGGAAGAGGTTACACTTCTGAAAAACAGAGTCGGGAGAGGTGCTGGAGGGGTGGGCCTTGGTTTGGTCTGGAGGCCAATGAGAACTCCAGAGAACTTGTGCCTCAGTCAGAAGATGGTACCAAGTGTCTGCTCTGGGCCAGTAACTGTGCTCGCCACCAGAACAAAGTCAACCCTAGTTTTGTTTGTGAAAAAAGTGGAGACAGGTGTTCAGGCTGACACATACTCAATGCACACCCTGTTGTGTGCATGGAGATGACGACTCTGGATCTTTCCAGCTCTAAAGGATGGTTATGAGAAGGTGGAGCAAGACCTGCCAGCCTTTGAGGACCTGGAGGGCGCGGCGCGGGCCCTGATGCGGCTGCAAGATGTCTACCTGCTTAGTGTGAAGGGCCTCACCCAGGGCCTGTTCCAGAGGGTCACTGGCTCTGCGGTCACCGACCTGTACAGGCCCACACGGCTGTTCTCTCTCAGTGCCGATGACTGCTTCCAGGTCGGCAAGGTAAGAGTGCACAGAACAGGCAAAGTTACTCCATTCCAATCATATGGGTATATCCCTGATCCTGACAGCATGTTTGGAAATGTGATCGTAGCCCCTAATTTCAGAGAAAGACACTAAGCCTCAGATGGGGTTGATAACTTTACCATCGTGTGCCCAAGGTCACCCAGTTTTATGTAGTAGAAATAAATATCATTATTATTGTTGTGGTTGTTGTTTTGCATTGCAGGGATAGAACGCCCCAGGTGGGGTATGGTGCTGCCAGCAGGTCAATCTGTACCTGTGAGGTGAGTCCATCGGCAGCCTGATGGTGCCTTCAGACTTCTAGATACCCCAAATTGCTGCTGTGCCTTTGGCCAATCCGCAACAACTTGTGGCCAAGTTTACCAAGAAAGTAAATGGCCAAAAGTTAGGTATGTGGGAGACACACCCACAAACCACCTCTGGCTCAGCTGTATAATTGGAGGCAAGGCCTCTCTGGTTCCTGATAAACTTCTTAACAGCCAGAATCCCAGAGACTCAGAAATCTCAGAACCCAGCGGCTTTTGGCAGAAATGCGTCTGGTTCCCACAGTAGGTTACTGGCACTGCCCACCCCAGGTGGGAATAGGTTTCGTGCCTTGGCTTGTTCCCTCTGGTGGCTTGTTGGCTACCATCCTCCAGAGGCCATTGGACAGTCAGGTTTGGGCCCGCAGTGATGAGACACACAGGGCCTCATGGGATGGGGGGTGGAGCTGGCCCTTTCCTCACTGCTCCGACAAGACCCCAAGTCGCCGCCCGTGAACGGCCTCTCTGGTTCCTGATCAAGCTGCTTAATGGCCGTGATCTCAGAGACTCAGAATCAAATCTTGGAACCCAGTGGCTTTTGGCAGAAATATGTCTAGTCCCTGCAGTAGGTTACCAGCGCCAGGCCACCTCGGGGGGGGGGGGGGGGGAAGGGTTCTGTCCCTCCGCCTGCTCCGCCTGCATGGTCCAAGAGACTCAGGAACAAATCTTATGCTTCTAAGGCATAAGCCCTACCACTGAGCCACCTCCCTGACCAAGAAATAAATTTTGGAGCTGCATTTTGTGAACTCCAAATTCCATCCATTTTTTTCCAAGAAAGATGGTCACGTATATCTGTAAGGTACTCTTGTGAATGAAGTGGGTGTCATTAAGCAGTGGACTGGGACTGTCCTTGGCATCTGGACCTTGGTGACTGTAACTCTAGCATCTAAAGGTAGATGAAGTACAGGGTGGGAAGCAGAAGCAGGGCTGAAGGTTGTGGAAAGAGCTAAGAGAAGGTGATGTAAGGTGAGTTCCCAGGAACTCCCGAGACTTTCTAGAACCACTTAAATTTTCTGGACACTAAGAAACGCTCGATTAAAATAGGGTCAAAAAGCCAACTTGCCCCAGACTTTTGGAACCTTCTAAATGTGACAGTTCATTGATCTTTTTGTTTATTTGTTTGTTTGGATGACCATACCCAGCAATGCTTGTGGGCTACTTGGTGCTTACTTCTGGGTTTGTCCAGGGCTCCCCCAGGCAAAGCAAATGTCCTAGAATATTCTAGCTCTGTAGCCATTTACCCAGCCCCTTTAACTGAACTCTGATAGAAAGTTATAAGCAAACTTAAAAATTTTAATAGTTATTTTGCAGTATGCTCTTTGTTAACCTTTGCTTTATTGAGGGAAAAGAAGCAATGAAGTGAATCCTGTTTTAATTGTGAGGATGTTTATTGCAGGAAAGCAAACTTTTCTCTAGCCCCCATCAGAATGTATTAGATCTGAGAGCGGGCCACTTATGTTCCCACTTCCATTTGAGGGAATCTCTCTTCCAAATTAAAGGCAGAGTAGTTTGCCTAAGACTCTCCGTGTGCCACTTTTCCTTTATTTATTTATTTATTTATTTATTTATTTATTTATTTTTTTGAGGTTCTGAATGGATTCCTGTTCATGGTTGATTTCACTGTAAGCCAGTGAAAAGACCCCATGGACACACTAGCACAAGCTCATCGGTGAGGCCTTTCTGAAACTGCGACCATGTGCTGAAGATTTAGGAAGCCACATACTGAGAGCCTCCTTGGGAATCATTTCTGGAATTTATTGTTCTAAAAAATGTCATTATAAGATGTTGCGCGGCCGCAAATGCGACCGTGTGCTTCCGGGAGCTGGGTTTTATAGTCTCTGAGTCTTGGCTGTTGATGGGATTACACAGCGCAGGGGGCCAGTTGGTGGGTGTGACCCCTGCCTACTGGAATTTGGAGGATCTGGGTGGAGGATGCTCAGCCCCGGTCCGAGTAGGCTTGGAGATCTCAGCCCCGGGACCCGCATGTCTTTGTTCCTCAGCCGGTACCTTCATGTGTGCGGAGAGTGGTCTCAGCATGGTGGTGGCTGGTTCTGGAGGTCTTCGGCTGCCGGAGCCCTGGTCGGGGCGGGGAGGGAAACTCAACCCGCTCCCCTCCAAGGGGCCCTGGCGAGGACAGCCAGGCGTTGGGGCAGAAGACTCTGCGCTGTTCTCTTCCGGGAGCTGAGTTTTATAGTCTCTGAGTCTTGGCCGTTGATGGGATTACACAGTGCCAGGGGGCCAGTTGGTGGGTGTGACCCCCGCCTACTGGAATTTGGAGGATCTGGGTGGAGGATGCTCAGCCCTGGTCCGAGTAGGCTTGGAGATCTCAGCCCCGGGACCCGCATTACTGAATGTAACCTGCCCACATGGCAGAGTCTGGCAAACTCCCCATGGCATACCCAATATGCCAAATACCAGTAACAATGATGGGTCTCATTCTCCTAACCCTGAAAGAGCCTTGAATATGGCACTTTTTAAAAAATCTCAGGGCTAGGACAAAGGAGACGTTACCGGGGCCTGCTCGAGGCAATCGATGAATAACAGGATGGTCGTGATCGTCGTGATCGTGATTGTTCTAAAAGTTTAAATAGTGGGATTTGGGAGGTGTCTCAAAAGTGGTGCTTGAGAGACCTGGGGCCCACTCTCATGATTCTAGGTCACTGAAATTGTGGATCAGTGTCAGAGCCCAGGAATGCAGTAATGCTTGGGTACTGTACACCAGTGCTTGGGGGCTTCAGGGGAGGCCATATAGTACTGGGGATTGAACCCTGAACCCAGGTTGGGGGCATGCAAAGCCTACAACATCAGGCTTGTCCTATCTCCCTGGTCTCTTTGCCCTGTGTCAGCTCTCTGTCTCTCTCTCTGTCTCTCTGTCTCTGTCTCTCTCTGTCTCTCTCTGTCTCTCTCTGTCTCTCTCTGTCTCTGTCTCTCTCTGTCTCTCTCTGTCTCTCTCTCTCTCTCTCTCTCTCTCTCTCTCTCTCTCTCTCCATGCCTTTATTTCTTTTTGGTTTTGGGTTTTGGTTTGGGGACCACACCTAGCAGTGTTCAGGGCTTATTCTGGCTCTGTGCTCAGGGGTCAGTGCTAGTGGGACTCAGAGTATTTATAAAGGATGCCGAGGTTTGACCCTGTGTTGGCCATGTGCAAGGCAAGCACCCTACCCACTGTACTGTCTTTCCAGCCATTTCAGATTATTTTAAATTTCGTATGTCCCAATACAGCTCATTGTTTCCAGCAAGAGCTACTGGGAGTAAAGCTTCTATTGTTATTCATTTTTTGAAGTAAATACAGATTTTATTGGAAGGTTTTAGGAAGGAGAATGAGGGAGAGAAATGGGAGAGAGAACAACGTGCCTAAAAGAATGTGGGCTTCTCCCTAGAACTTCTCTCGAGAACTGAGCAAGCAAATCTCACAGCTGACAGGTCCCCATCACCCTTGGGGGCCTCACCACCAGTGAAATAAACCAGGTTAGCCTTTTTCTTTTTTTGTCTGTGTGACTCTCAGGATTAAACCCATGTATTTACCACGGGTCATGAAATTCCTAATTGTTGAATTCTACTATTGCCCTACCACTTTAGGGGGTGGGTTGGAACACACCTTGTGGTGCTTAAGGCTTCCTCCTAATCCTCACATCGTTGCAGTGGTCAGAGGAACCATATCCTGTGCCAGGTATAGAACTAGGGTCAGCTGCAAACAAGGCAAGTTCCTTAACTATTTCTCCAGCCCTATTATTGCCATGCCAAGGATCAAACCAGGGCTGCCTACATTCTAGTGCTTTATTGCTGAATTACATCCATGGTCCTACCCTTTTATTATATCTGTTGACTCTTTCCTAGGACTGGAGCGATAGCACAGCGGGTATGGCATTTGCCTTGCATGCGGCCAACCTGGGTTTGATTCCCCCGCCCCTCTCGGAGAGCCCGACAAGCTACTGAGAGTATCTTGCCCACAAGGCAGAGCCTGGCAAATAAGCCTGTGGCTTATTTGATATGCCTAAAACAGTAACCACAAGTCTCACAATTTGTTGTGAGACGTTATTCGAGCCAGCTCCAGCAAATTGATGAACAATGGGAGGACAGTGCTACAGCGCTACAGTGACCCTTTCCTGATATATTTCCCCTCTTTGATTGTGAGTTCATTTTTCGAAGGTTTATTTTCCCCTCAGACAGTCTCTGTACCTGTAGTGGTGGAAATATCTCTCCAGAGTCTTCTGGGTTTTCTTTTCCCAGGAACTCTAGTGATATCACTAGACATAGGTTCATTTTTAAAAAATATTGATTGGTTTGGGTTTGTTGTTGTTTTTGTTGTTGTTGTTATTTGTGGTGGGGCAGGGGGCAGCACACCTGATCGTACTCAGGGCTGACTCTTGGCTCTGCACTTCAGGATCACTTTGGCAGGCCCAGGGAACCATATGTGTGCCAGGGATTGAACCCGGGTCAGCCATGTGCAAGGCAAGCGCTATACTGTCTCTGTACTATCTCTCCAGCTCCTGGATTTTTAAAAAGTAAGAAGTAAGGCACATCCAAAATGTGAAGTACATGTCAACATAGTGGATGGTCTAAGGAGAAACTTTATATCCCAAAGAAGACACCAGATATTCTTGTCTCTGCTTCAGTGGGTAGGTTTTGGGGGGCACAACATTTCCTTGAAAGGTTTTGATTTTGTAATTTTGTAATAGGGTTTGTTTTGTTGTTTTTTTGTTTTAGTGGGGGTGAAGGAGGTGCCTCCTTGGGCTGCTTCTGGCTCTGAGCTCAGCGATTGCTCCCAGACTTCAAATTGGGTCAGCTGCATGCAGGACAAGTGCATAACCCCTGTATTGTCTTGCCAGCCCTTTTGAATTAATTCCAATTCCTGGATTTGGGGAAGTGTAAGGAAAGTTCGTATTCAGTTCTCATGTGGGAATTTATGGTTTAAGCACCAAAGTGAATGAGCCAGCACGCCCATCCTGCATAGCTGCTGCATCTGCTCATAAGATCAGTGCTTAGAATTTCAGCTTTTTTTTTTTTTTGGCTTTATGTGTCACACCCAGTGATGCTCAGGGCTTACTGCTGGCTCTGCACTCAGGAATTTCTCCTGGCAGTGCTCAGGGGACCATATGGGATGCTGGGTATGGAACCAGGTCGGCCAAATGCAAGGAAAATGCTCTCCCTGCTGTATTATTGCTCTGGGCCCTCAGCTCCTTTTTTGATACCTAGCTATTTCCCATTATTTCCTAAAATATATCTGTTTCCAATATATTTATGTTCTGTTGTATTTTATTCAAATGCCTAAGTCTTTGTGATGGAAAGAGTTCCAACCAACTACATTGTTGGGACATGAAGTGCCTCATTAAAAAGTTCACTTACAGAAAAAGTTTAGTCATTCGTAATGATCACTTTTCATCTCGCTAAGAAACCTGAGGGCCAGTGAGATAACACAACGGATTATTGTCAGACCTGGGAAGGCAACCGATTTATGGCAGTATCTCATGGTTCTGTCCCTATTTTTCTACCTGTAAGGACATGATGCCAAAATTAGATCGTGTTGTCAGATCCCTTCCAGCTCTGTGACTTCACCGTTCCTTGCTGTCTCCAACATCAACTCCCAAGAACTCCCACGATCAGGACTGGTATTCTTATTCACTATAAGCTGCTAGACAGGAATAATACTTAGTGCTGAATGGGTGGCCATCAGCCGCACATTCCAACATTTAATAAGGAGCAAACTCACTGAGATTTCATAGTGTTCCTTCGTGGGGCCAGTCCTAGGGTATGCTTTATTCAGATACCCTCATTTGATTATAAGACCTATTAGGGCAGGAATCACCTGCCTATTTTCACATTGAAAATACTGAATAATGTTAAATGTATAAATGTAATGCATTCAAGTGCTACTGACTAAATCTTCCTTACAGTATGACATGCATAACTGTCATTTCAGCCTCCTTTCCTGCTTCTCCTCATTGCGGGTTATAGCCACATTGTACATTTGAACACATTCTTGCTTCAGACATCAGTGTCCTTATCCTCTGTTACTTAAAAAAACAGTTTTTATTATTCTCTCTCCTTTTTTTTTTTTGGTTTTTGGGCCACACCTGGCAATGATCAAGGGTTACTCCTGGCTCTGCACTCAGAAGTTAAACCTGGTGGTGCTCAGGAACCAAATGGGATGCTGGGGATAGAACCCGGGTAAGCCCTATGCAAGGCCAAAGCCCAAACTCCTGTATTATCACTCCAACCGCATTATTCTCTTATCTTAAAAAATGGTTTCCTCTCCATTTCTGCTCATTCCTTTTGTTCTTCTCAGTAGGCCCATTTCAGGTACTGCTTCTCTGCATTTAGGACAATGCCTTGCATATAGCAGATGTTAATAACTTGAATTGAATCACAGTTGAGGTAATAATGCACTTGCTTGGCTTCCAACGGGCTTCTCTCTCTCCTTGTCTCCTTCCCTCTACCTGTGTGCTCTGGTTTTCATGGCACCTTTCATGTACCCTGCAGGTGGCCTATGACATGGGGGATTACTACCATGCCATCTTGTGGCTGGAGGAGGCTGTCAGTCTCTTCAAAGGATCTTACGGAGATTGGAAGACAGAGGATGAGGCCAGTCTAGAAGATGCCTTGGACCACTTGGCCTTTGCCTATTTCCAGGTAGGGAAGAAGGGCTCGTTTTATCAACAAATATTTGATGGGTTGCTAGTGTCATCACACTTTGTGCTCCCAGCAGTTCATAACACCCCAAAGATGTCCTTTAAGACATCACCAAGTCTTAAGGAAATTCTGGATTGTTGTCTTTTCCCATCTTCAACGGGGTCCATCTGAGAACGCTAACATGTCCAGCTCCAGAGCTGACTTGACCTGATGCATAGTACCAGACTCTGTGCCGCCTCCAGCTGTAGGTTTTCCCTGGCACAGATCATCTACGATCAGTTTTGCCTAGGAGGAACCTCATTTTCCTAAATAAGGGAGCTGCTACTCTTTGTAATAGCTGAATACCACACTTCCCACCAAAGTTGAACAGTTTTCAAAAACCACCTGAAAAAATTACAAGAGCGAAGACCCAGAATTCCCAATGTTAATCAACCCTTATGCACTTTGTTCCTTTTTCCTCCCCCCGCCCCGCCCCTCCATTTATGAGACCTAGTTAGTTGCCATCATATCCTGAAATATATCTATTTCCAATACATTTATATTCTGTTATACTCCTGAGAAAAGGGGAGGGGGAGATTATGGGTAGCCCTCACCTGTGTTGCTGCCAAGGCAGATTCATTCTGAAAGCAGCAACTGACCCTGTTTCTCTCAGGGAAGTTCCTGGTAAGTGGATCTTTGGAGTAGAATCTTCCAGGCTGTTCTGGAAATAGAATCCCCATGACATCACAAAGGGCAAGAAGTAACTGAATTTTAACAGAGGAAGAAAATGGAGCCTTGGCATGGAGACTGAGAGCAACTAAAAGCGATTAATGCAGAAAAGGCGTTTTAAATCCAGACTCGTGTTGCTTTCAAGCCCTGAAGGACCTTTTCATAGTTGAGCTTTGTCTGGTTCATTTATTCATCTTACAGGGAATAGCTCAGCTCAGTTGACACCAATTTTGTGAAATCTCTCTGTTGGTCCTCAGACTTGACTTCTTTGTGCTCTCAAAACTTTCTGAAGCTTTTTTTTTTTTTTAAATGCACAGTCACTTACTGTCCTCCTGTTGTTCATCGATTTGCTCGGGCGGGACCAGTAATGTCTCCATTGTGACAATTGTTACTGTGTTTGGCATATCGAATATGTCATAGGTAGCTTGCCATCCTTTGTTGTGCAGGCGAGAAACTCTCGGTAGCTTGCCGGGCTCTCCAAGAGGGGCGGAGGAATCGAACTCGGGTCGGCCATGTTGGCTGCATGCAAGGCAAATGCCCTACCTGCTGTACTATTGCTCCAGCCTCATGAGGCATAGTCTCTTAAGATGATGTATGGCCCCCTTTGTGTCCCCAGATAAGTGTCCCTTTGTGTGTCTTCATGCAATTTTTATATCTATGTTATGTATGGGTTGGAGTGATAGCACAGTGGTAGGGCATTTGCCTTGCACGCAGCTGGCCTGGCCAAGCCGTGTTCAATTCTTCCACTCCTCTCAGAGAGCCCGGCAAGCTACTGAGAGTATCTCGCCCGCACGGCAAAGCCTGGCAAGCTACCCGTGCTGTATTCAATATGCCAAACACAGTAACATCAAGTCTCATGATGGAGACGTTACTGGGCCTGCTCGAGCAAACTGATGAACAACAGGAGGACAGTGCTACAGTGCTACAGTCTTAACATGGAAAAAAGTTATGTAACATTTTTCAAGCTATATTCTAAGGAAAACATTATTTCAGTACCTGTTGGTAATAAGAGGCACTATAATACAGTCTTTGAAGTCATAGGTTCTGAAGTCAGACCTGGGTAATATTCCAAAATATTAAAATTTCATATTCTATTTCACATTAATCCTCCCGGAATGAGTCCTTCTCAAATGACTAAATTTATTAATAGATAAACATCGAGTGGAATAGCATTTAGCCTGAGAAAGGAAATTGTGCCCATGCCAACCCTTGAGGACACCTTGAGGATGCCCCAGTGTGTGCAATAAGCTGGTCATGATATGAATCCTGTGTGGTTTTCCTTCCAGGAGACCTTGAGGAGTCAGATGCTATGGAGCCTGGTGGTTTTGGCTGGTAGGGAGCTCAGAGGGCTGCGGTGCAGGGCAAGCAGGCTTAAAAACTTGAATTTGATCCCCAGCACTCCATGAACTCCTGCATACCTCTAGGGAACCCTCAGTGTCTATGGGCTGCATGATGTGCCCAGGCACTGACCCATTCGGCTTGCTGGCATGGTCTGGACTGGTCCCAGGCTTGGGGCCACAAACCTAGCAGTGACAAAGACTACTCACCAAGCATAGTGCTCAGGTCTCTCCTGGAAGTGCTCAGGGGATATCTCGTGCTGGGGATTGAAACTAAGCCTCCCGCATGCAAAGTTGGCACTCCAGTCTTTGGGGTTAGTTCCCTGGCCGAAGGATGCTGGCATATTTGTTTTATTTTTCCCCTTTGGACATTGCTTTTTCCCTTTTGCTTGCTTTTTTAAAGAAAAAATTATTTGGCACTGGAGTGATAGCACAACGGTAGCGTGTTTGCCTTGTACACGGCCAACCTGGGTTCAATTCCCAGCATCCCTAAGCACTGACAGGTGTAACTCCTGAGTGCAGAGCCAGGAATAACCCTTGTGCATTGCCTGGTGTGACCCACCCCCCCCAAAAAAAGTAAAGAAAAAAAGAAAAAGCTATTTATGGGGTTGGAGAGATAGAATAGTAGGTGGAGTGCTTGCCTTGCATGTGACTGACTGGTTTGACTCCTGGAACCACATATGGTCCCTTCGCCCTGCCAGGAGTGATCTCTGAGCGCAGAATCAGGAATAAGTCCTGTGCACCACTGAGTGTAGTCCCCAAATCAAAATAATAATAATTAGACATTATGATTTACATGGCTGTTCACAATGGCTTCTTTGGCATACAATGTTCCCCCTCCAACCCATCCACCAGATGTCCCCTTCCCTTCACCACTTACCCCAGATTCCTTACCAGCTCCCAACTGACTCCTTGACAGTTACATTAAAGTTTGTCATAGTTCACTCCTTCACTGTTGGTGGGAATGTCGACTGGTTCAGCCCTTCTGGAAAACAGTATGGACGATTCTCAAAAAATTAGAAATTGAGCTCCCATTTGACCCAGCAATACCACTCCTGGGAATATATCCCAGAGAGGCAAAAAAGTATAGTCGAAGTGACATCTGCAATTGTTTGTTCATTGCAGCACTCTTTACAATAGCCAGAACCTGGAAGAAACCTGAATGCCCAAGAACAGATGACTGGTTAAAGAAACTTTGGTACATCTACACAATGGAGTACTATGTAGCTGTTAGAAAAGATGAAGTCATGAAATTTACATACAAGTGGTACAACATGGAAAGTATCATGCTAAGCGAAATGAGTCAGAAAGAGAGGGATAGACATAGAAAGATTGCATTCATCTGGGGGATATAAAGTAACAAAATATGAGATTAATACCCAAGAATAGCTGAGATCAGCACCAGGAGGATTACTCCATAACTTAGAGGCCAGCTGGGTATTCTAGGGGAAAGGGCAGTTCAGATAGAGAAGGGAGCACCAAATAAAGGGTGTTAGGAGGATCCTCCCAGGAGGGGAGATGCATGTTGAAAGTAGACTATGGATTGAACATGTTTGCCACTCAATGCCTCTTTTGCAGACCATAACACCCAAAAGGAGAGAGAGATAACAGGGGATTGCCCTGCCACAGAGGCAGGGGGGGAATAGGGGGATGGGGGTGGGGGGATATTATCCATGGTGGTGGAAAATGGGCACTGGTGGAGGGATGGGTATCTGATCATTGTATAATCGAAACCCAAGCACAAAAAATAGTAAATCTACAACTGTACCTCATGGTGTTTCACTAATAAAAAAAAAGTTTGTCATAGTTGGGGTCTCATGGTTTTGGTATTGATATTGAATGGTCTGGAAGTATACTTCATGTCTACATCATAAGCCCTCTGATCCCTATGTTACTTGCTTGCCCCTCCATTTCTCTTTTCTCAGCATTAAGAGTGGTGGGTTTGGGGGGGACAGAGCAATAGTAGAGTGGGTTGGGTGCTTGTCTTGCATGCAACCAACCCTAGTTCATTCCCTAGCACCCCCCTGTGGTCCTACCTACTTGTTTACCAGGAGTGATCCCTGATGATCCCTGAGTGCCAAACCAGGAGTAAACCCTTATCTTTTCCAGGTGTGGCCCAAATGCAAATAAACAAATGACGTGTTTAGGGGTCAGAGAGATCGTGTTGTGCGTAAGGTGCTTGTCTTGCACGTAACCAACTTGGGTTTGCTTCCCAGAAACCCATACAGTCCCCCTGAGCACAACCAGGAGTGATCCCTGAGCACAGAGCCAGAAATAAGCACTGAACACAGCCGGGTGCGACCCTAAAAAAAGGAAATGATGGGTTGTCAGGGCTAGTGAAGGGGCTAAGGGAATTGGGTGTTGTGGTGATGTTGTCTATAAGAATTTGATTTTAGGTTTTATTTTTTGGATGGACTTTCCCAAGCAGTGCTTAGGGAGTTTGGGGACTCTACTGGCCACTTAGGTAACACAGTTGAATTCTTGGTCCCAGTGTGGCGGGGGGGGGGGGGGGGGGGGGGAGGTGGAGCAGAAAGGGGCGGGGCAGGGGAGACCAGAGTCATCTGAAGTGCTGGGGGCCTTCAGGGAAGTACCTGGTGATGGTCAGGGGTTCATGCAGTGCTGGGGATTGAACTTGGTCTATGTTCCCCTGAAAGTGAACCTGGCTCCTAGTGTTTCAATTTCTTCCTCTCTTCCTTCCTTCCTTCCTTCCTTCCTTCCTTCCTTCCTTCCTTCCTTCCTTCCTTCCTGTCTGTTCTTTCTTTCTTTCTTTCTTTCTTTCTTTCTTTCTTTCTTTCTGTCCTTTTTTTTTTTTTTGCTTTTTGGGTCACCCCCCCCAGCGATGCTCAGGGGTTACTCCTGGCTCTGCACCCAGGAATTACTCCTGGTGGTGCTTGGGGAACAATTTGGGATGCCGGGGATTGAACCCGGATCGGCCACGTGCAACGCGAACATCCTACCCGCTGTACTATGGCTCTGACCTACGTTTCAATTCCAAGATGAAAAATACTTTAAAACATTGGTTGCACATCACTGAGAACATATTTAAACCATTGAACTATATAATCACACATGACTTAAGATGATAAATTGATGTTCTCTTTTTGTAAAACCACAATTAAAAGTAATAATGAAAAATATTCTCTTTGCAGACTATGTGACAATATAAAAATATTCCCGAACACAGTATAGAACAAAGTCACCACCAGGAAACCCAGTGCCTGCTCTCACTGATACTTGGCCGAATGGGCCAGTGGTTCAGTCACTGCAGCTTGGGTTCTCAAGGACCCCCAGGGCTGCACTCGGGAATGCTTAGGAGACCGTGTCTAAATCGGCATCAGCCACAGGCAAGGCATGTGCCTTTACCCTGGTACTAGCTTTCAGGCCCCTTAATTAGAGGTGTCATAGTTTCAATTGTTTAATAATAAAATGTGCCAAAATAGCAACACCCTGTAATCCCATGACATTGCATGCTGATAGATTCAAAAGTGCTTTAGAAATTATGTTTTTATTCTTTTTCCTCCCTTTCCTGAGGAGGGTGGTAATAAGTCATGTGTGATGGAGATAACTGAGACTTGAGTTGCTTGCAGAAACTGATCCTGAATTTAGACAAGAATCTCTCATTTCTAGGCTGCTGCTTTTCATGGAAATATATCGGATTACTTATGTGGGGCAAGACTCCTTTATAGTTTTTTTTTTAATCTGCTTGTTGGTTTGCCAGACGAAGTATCCTCAGTAGTTAACTCTTTCTTTCCTTTTTTCTTTTGTAGGCGGGAAATGTTTCATATGCCCTCAGCCTGTCTCAAGAGCTTCTCCTCTATAGTACGTGATAATAAGAGACAAGTCAAAGGCTTGATTCAATGGGAAATCTTTTCTGCTCATGGGGCCTTCGTCTCTGCAAGTAAAACACAGCTACCTGGTTCTGTTTTACTCATTTTGCAGTCCAAGGCATATTTCTTTTCCTTTGTTTTACTACTCCCAGCTCAGTATTTAGAGAACTTTATGGTCCAGGGATCCAGCCCAGGGCTCTTCGCATGCAAAGCGTGTGTGCACCTCCAGCAATTTGAGATACTGCCGCAGCCTCATCACTAAACTTTTGGATTTAATTAATCAGTATACTTGGGGAAATTTTGAAGTTAGTTGGGAAAATGCTAAGAGGGAGATATTACCTGCCCCCTTTCTCCTCCACTCCCATTCCAGCTGGATATTCGTGGGGGCATATGTGCGGGGTTGGGAACCACTTTGCTCAAACATTTAAAAACTCAGGAAGACGACAGGGAATGGAGACAGTCAGTGAGTGTAAGGAGAGTGAGCAAGATTATCCACTCTGACTACTTACCAAAACAGGTCTCAGTTCTTCCCTGAACCCAGAGCAAGTATCCTGCCCAGCCAGCCTCAGGGATCAACTGCAACTCTCCTGGCAGCCCTTTGCTAGTTTGTTAGGAAGGAACATGATGCTCTCCGTGTGGAGGTGCTCAAGGTGAGCCCACCGAGATTTAACACCTGACCTGGCTGACAGTTTAAAGTCTCCAGAGATCAGTGTGGACTTTTGTGGTCCCCAGCCAATGCAGTGATCTTTCCATTCCCCGAAGGAAGCTGAGAAAATCTGCCACAAGACTTTTTCCATTCCCTATAGGAGTGTTACCTAAACCTGAAATAATCCCCTCTTTCCTTTTCTTGTGCGCTTTCTGCGTCCAAGGAAAGGGATGTACCTTTCATCTGGTACAGCATTTTAATGTTTTGTTGTCTTTCTGTTTGGGGGCTACACCCAGTGATGCGCAGAAATTACTCCTAGCAGGCCCCGAAGGATCATATGAGATGCTGGGGATTGAGCCCCCATTGGCCGAGTACAAGGCAAGCTCCCTACCCACTGTACTATCTGTTTGACCCTTGGTACAGCTCTTTGGAACTCTCTTCTACTTGCTAGATGGGATACTGTCCAGTCCGTGAATTATTCACTAAAGTAAATTACCTTTAAAATGAAGTTGGTTGGATTTTTGTTATTTAGAAAGTTAAACAGTAAAGTCACTTTCTAGTTTAACTCTGCTTGAGTACTTTTGCTTAAGTTTTGGTGGTAGAAAACTGGATAGGTTTTTCTTTAATAAGATATTTGGATACTAAGGTAATAACATCACTATTATGTTTTCAAATTTACAAATTAATGTAGGAAATTATATGTACTTATTGTTAGTGAATCTGTTTAATAACATCCCTTTCTGATAAAGCAGCTAACCATAGGATAAAGAAGTAGCTGTATGATTAGAAATGTGGGTAATTAGTAATACAGGGAAAACTCTAACCTACCCCTCTTTATTCCTTTGTGCTTGATATATTAAATTCTCTGCCTTTTACAGAAAATCCCAATTATGAGCAATCATAGGTGAGATTCAACAAATGAAGATTCCCAGTTCCATTGCTGACTCTGGTGTTCTGGGCTCATCATTTTTATTCTCCCAAACTTTATTTCTCCTCTTGGTTTTTTTCGGGGGGATCCTTGCAAGCAGAGCTCAGGGTGTTCAGGGGCTACTCCCAGTGCTTCTCAACCAACTGGGTGGTGTGGTTGACTGCAACAGCCCAGGGATGTAGAGCTCCTCTGGTCCTATGATGCTGGGGATCCCCAGGGCTACCTGGAGATGACCAGGGGCAGCATTCAGGGGTAGTTCCAGGGATTACACTGGCATCTGCCCAGCTTACGCCCTAACCTGTACTGTCTCCCCTGCTCTCTCCTCTCTCTCCTCTTGTTTACGAAAGGGTGGTAATTTCTGCTTATCATTAGTGAATGATGGCCCTTCCCTGACTCCTTTGCCAGGGTGATGGTGATTAGAAACACACTGAGCTCCTAAGAGCAAATTCCTGTGGGGGCATTAAATCAGTTCTCCACAGGGCCAGAGCGATAATACGAAGGCTAAGGTGCTTGTCTTGCACATTGATGACCCAGGTCATCTTGGAGCCCTCCAAGGAGCAATCCCTGGTGCAGAGCCAGGAGGAAGCCCTGAGCAGAAACATTTTGGGCGTGTTGAGTGTGGTCCCCGGCCCCCCCAAAATAAAATAAGTCAATTCAGCATCTCCCAACATGTACTGAGAATTGTGCAGATAAACAAAAGTCAGCCATGGTGGGGGTGGGGAGTGGTTGCCAACCCAGCGGGCATTGTGAAGCCAAAGCGGGCACAAACAGGTAGCCCCCAATATGATAGATATGAGACCTCCATGGTGATACAGGGTAGAGCCAAATCTGGAACCCTTTGTTTCTACCTCTCTGCCACATGTTTTAGGAATATTGAAGGACCCAGTAGAGTCAAGAACGAATTCACTTACAGTTCTCCAAGGGAGAGTAGCTGGGTCTCTCCTGTGGGCACTGGCTCTCCATACCTTTTATCCAGAGTACTTACTTGACATGTTTGTATGTAAGTAGTTTTATGTCAGGCGGGGGAGAGGGTGTGGGTCAAACCTGTCAGTGCTCAGAAGCTACTCCCAGCTCCATGCCAGGGGGTTGTTCCCTGCAGTGCTCGGGATTGACTGTGGTTTGCCACAAGACAAGAACCTTAACTCCTCTCTTATGTCTCCAGCACCTTATGTAAGTTCATACTATTATGTTTCTCCATTAAACTCCATGTTCTGGGAAGTTACCTTCTAACACAGTGTCTGGTACATAGTAGATACTTACTGAAGATTTCTTGAAAAGATGGAAAATTAACAAATGAATGCAGGGAATTGGCCACTGCCACACTGCCCTAGAGCCCCCAATCCCCGTGATCATTTGCCACTCTAGGTGGCAAATGAACACTTGTGCTATTTGTGACAGTGAGGTCATAGGAAGCCTTGGCAGCACCTCTGGGCCAGTTTGTTCATCTGTAATATCCCTTCTTCTGAATTCCCCCAGGCCCAGACAATAAGAGGATGGCCAGGAATATCCTGAAATATGAAAAGCTCTTAGCAGAGAGCTCCAAAAGGACAGTAGCCAAGGTTGCCATCCGGAGGCCCAATGTCCCGCACCTGCAGACCAGAGATGTCTACGAGGGGCTGTGCCAGACCCTGGGCTCTCAGGTAGGACTCCTTGGAAACAGACACGGCTAGAATCATTTTGGCTAGAGAGAGAAAAGGTTAAATTGGGACAGTGTGAGGGGTATGGACTGTGGCAGTAAAAATATTTATATGACTCATTTGGCTAGCATGGTGACCACATTCTGAATCTCCCACATTTAAGATTTTGTATCACACCTGGCAGTGCTCAGGGCTTATTCTGACCATGCTCAGAATCATGCTTGGTGTCATATTCTGTGCAGAGGATTGAACCGGGGTCAGCTGCTTACAAGACAGATACCTTTTGTTTAAAAAAATTTTTTTTTTCTTTTTTAAAATTGAATCATCATGAGATACAGTTACAGAGTTGTTCCTGATTGGATTTCAGTCATATAATGTTCCAATACCCGTCCTTTCACCAGTGTACATTTCCAATCACCAGTGTCCCCAGTTTCCTTCCACCCCTCCCACCCCAGACTGCCTCTATGGCAGGTACTTTTCTTCTCTCTCTCTCTCTCTCTCTCTCTCTCTCTCTCTCTCTCTCTCTCTCTCTCTCTCTCTCCCCATCCCATGGCATTATGGTTTTCAATTCAGGTGCTGATGAAAGGTCATCATTTTTGTCCCTTTACCTACTTTCAACACTCAGTTCATTTAGGTCCCTTCTCTATCCTGACTGCCCTCCCCAATCCCTCCATTTGTGGCAAGCTTCCAACCATGGACAAGTGCTCTTGTCCCTTGTTTCTCCTGTCCTTGCATATTAGTCTCATACTCTGTTTCTTTTTATATCCCACAAATGAGTGCAATCATTCTGTGCCTCTTCCTCTCCTTCTGATTCATTTCATTCAGCATGATACTCTCCACATCCATTTATAAGCAAATGTAATGACTACGTTTTTCCTGGTGACTGAGTAGTATTCCATGTTTAGATGTTCCATAATTTCTTTATCCAGTTGTCTGTTCTCTGGTAGTGGTGTCGTTTCCAGATTCTGGCTATTGTGAATTGTGCTGCAATGAATATAGAAATGCAAGAAATGCAGATGGAGTTTCTCCTGTGTGTTTTTGGGTCCTTAGGGTATATTCCCAGAAGTGGTATTGCTGGACCAAATGAAACTCAATTTCTTGTTTTTTGAGTAACTATAATGTTTGCCAAAACGGTTGGACTAGTCGACATTTCCACTAACAATGAAGGAGAGTCCCTTTCTCCCTGAATCCATGCCAGCACTGTTTTATCTTTTCTTTTCTTTTTTTTTTTTTTAGTGTGTAAGGCAAACACCTTAACCCCTGAACTATCTCTCTGACTCTCAAGTGTTTTTTGTTGGTTTGGTTTGGTTTTTCAGTAATGGTTAGCGGCTTCTCCGGGCTTGTCCCTTGGAGAACCATGCAGTGCCAGGAATTGAACCTGGGCTGTTGAGAGATCTCGCTGGCTCCATAACATTCAAGTGTTTTTTTCTACTGAGTTTCTCTTATGTTGTTGCTTCTAGAACCTTCCCCTTGATTAAGTCTTGATTAAATCCCCTTGATTACAGCCCACTCACTACCAGATCCCCAGCCTCTACTGCTCCTATGAGACCAATTCCAGCCCCTACCTGCTGCTCCAGCCCGTCCGGAAGGAGGTCATACACCTGGAGCCCTACATTGTTCTCTTCCATGACTTTGTCAGTGACGTGGAGGCTCAGAAAATCAGAGGGTTTGCAGAACCATGGGTAAGTGTCCCCGGAGTCTAATAGGAGTTTCCCTTTGTTTACCTCCACTACTGTCTCAGGGCACCCCCCCTTCACTCCCCTGACCCCCACCACATCTCAGTGCCATGGTAAGCTCAGTCCTGGAGGGAAGTGTACTCTTGGGGGCAGAACGGGGGTTGTATCAAAATGTTGTTTTCATGAAACTGTATTATTGACTATATTGTCAAATTATAAATCACAGTGACTAAAAGAAAAAAAAGGAAGGGGAAATAATGTTTAACTACGTATTTGTACTTGATTGTGTTTATGTACGCAGAAAAAAATTGTAAATATTGTTTTCAATCAAAATGTAATGTGAGCCTCTCTTGCAAAACACAGTACCCAAAAGAAGAGAGAGAGAACAAGGGGGAATACCCTGCCACAGAGGCAGGATGGGACGGGGGGGGGGGGGGGGATGCTGGGACCCGTGGTGATGGATGACGGGCACTGGTGGAGGGATGGGCACTTGATCATTGTATAACTGAAACCCAAGCACAAAATTTGTAAGCCTATAACTGTACCTCATGGTGTTTCACTAATAAAAAAATTAAAAAAAAAAAACTAAAAATGGCTCCTATGTTTAAAGCTGCACAGGAGAGCCAGGCTCAGAAAAAAAAAATGTAATGTGAGCCACATAGATCATCCTAAAGTTTTAGTAGGCACATTCCAAAAAAGTGAAATCAATGTAAGTTTCCCTTTGTGTCTTTCCCTTTCCTGGAGATCTAGAGTGTGGGACAGGCAGCTCAAACGACTTGGCATTTCATCATTCCCAGAGTTCCAAATGCCAGCCACTCCCTAAAACAAATTACTGGTGAACAACACAGAAGTGGCTGACTCTGGAGATAGGAGATAGTCTGGGAAGAGATAGAGGCATTTTTCTGGGATGTTGCAAAAGGGCTCTCCATCTATTCTTAGGGATGCATTTGTCAAAAATCAGCAGATGGAGCAGATGTATGGCTAAGAGGTAGAGCACATACTAGCATGTGTAAGTTCATAAGGTTCTGGGTTTACTTTTTCTTTTTTTTATTCCATGGCCGACCCGAGTTCAATTCCTCCGCCCCTCTTGGAGAGCCCGGCAAGCTACCGAGAGTATTTGATATGCCAAACACAGTAACAACAAAGTCTCCAATGGAGATGTTACTGGGCCCGCTCGAGCAAATTGACGATCAACGGGAGGGCCTTACCTTTACCTTTTTTATTCCAAATGTTTCTTTAATACTCGTATTTTTTTGCACTTTGTTTTTTTTTTCTTAGTAAGACACTGTAGTTTAAAAAGTTGTTCATAATACAGTTGTTTCAGGAATACAATGTTCCAACACAAATCCCACCACCAACCTCCCCTTCTCTCCACCAATGGCCCCAGGTTCCCTCCCACTCCCAAGCCTGCCCCCCCCCCCAGCAGGAATATAATAAATTTATTTCATATTGCTTGCTCCAACAAAAGTTAAAGGAATGGTAAATAAAATTATCCCAACAAAAGTTAAAGGAATGGTAAATAAAATTATCCAAAAATAAATCAATAAAATTTATTTTGTGATGACTGATTTCTATGTTTCTACCTTTTCTTAATCTAATAGAGGATAGTCATATGTAACATTACTGAGTGTCACACTCAATGACACATATTGGGAACTTTCTCCTGTCCCTTAAAGAAACTCTTGTAACAAATCTAGTTTTAAAATGATGCTATGTTTTAAAATTAAGCTGTGTTTTAAAACTAAGCTGTGGCCTTTCCATGAAGCTCTGTATTATTCCTTCAAATCTGAATGATAATCTAGCTGAATAGTGTATTCTTGATGAAATGTTCATTTCATTGTGTGTCTGTACTATATCCTTCTATATTCTTCAGGCTCCTAGAGTCTCATTCGATAGATCAACTGTATATCTTATGAACTTTCCCTTGTAGGTAACTTTGTTTTATGATCTTCTGGCTATTAATATTCTGCCTCTGTCTTTGGATTTTGTTATTTTGAGTACAGTGTGTCTTGGAGTTTTCCCAGTCGAGTCTATTTTTGCTTGGACTCTTCAGGCCCCTTGGATGACTGTATCTGTATTCCTCAACTCTGGGAATTTTTATCAATGATTTCATTAACCATTGTTTCTCCATCACGTCTCCCTTCCTGTTCTTCAGGGACACTCTGCTTTAGTGGGCACAGGCCAACCTGCCCCCCCTCTGATTTATCCTGGTCTGCTCAGCCATGCATAGATCCAAGCTTAATTGTGACTTTTGATCTCTTTCGAGATTTATTTATGGGTCTCTGGAATAAGGCCAATAAATGAGCTTGTATAACTGAGCTGAGGTGCTTTGTGGGCGTGGCTCCCATATACTTAATTTTTGGCCTTTCAATTTCTTGGTAAACTGTGTCCCAAGAATTGGGGTCCATCCCAAGGCAGAGCAGCAATTTTGGGGCATCAGGAAGCCTGAAGGCACCATCAGGCTGCTGATGCACTTGCCCTGCAGGTACAGGTTGACCTGCTTGTGGCACCATACCCCCATCATTTACTCTTTAACCAAAAAATGTAACTGTAAGAGTATGAAGTGGAGCAAGGAAAGCCTCTTGAGTGAAATGATTGGTGTTGGGGTAACTGGTCAAGTCACATGTAAAAAAAAAGAAGAAGAACTTAGACCTGTCTTACACGACGCATAAAAATCAATTCAAATGGACTACAGACCTTGATACCAGGCCTGAATCCATAAAGTACTGAGGAAAACATGGGCAGAACCCCTCATGACATCTAATCTAGAGGCAACCTTAATGACTTATTTCATGTGAATTTTTAAAGGAAATACTATTTTTAAATTCATGTATCCATAACAAGAGAAAGATATACAGTTAAAAAGAAAAGACCGAGATTCACTGTGGCCTCATGTCCTTGATGGTGAACCACATCGAGGCAGCCACGTGGTTGCTGTCCACTGAACAGAGCCTGCTGTGTTCCAGACTCTGAGAAGGCTGGGCTCTCACCAGGAGCTGAAGAGCTTCCTGATGGCTGGGAGGGGTAGTGACTGACCCGAGCTGGGAGGGCTTCTCTACTCAAGGGGGGCAGAGGCTTGTGTGCTGAAGAAGGAGCAATGATACGATGGGTCAGGAGTTAGCCTGGCACATGGCTGACCTGGATCTGATACCTGCACCACGGATGGCCCATGTGTCCCTTCAGGAGTGATGCCTGAGCACAGAGCCAAGAGTAAGCCCTGAGCACTGCTGGGTGGAGCCCTCAAACAAAAACAACAGAATAAATAAAGAGAACATCCTGGTAAGGAAAGGCAGAAGGGAGGGGTCAAGCCAGACAAGGTTTTAATCTGCCCAGAAATTCAGGTTCACTGGTCTTTGTGGCTGAAAACCCCAGGCCTCATCTGAGTCTGGATGCGTGACCTCCCCCCACCTCCCTGTACTTCCAGAAGTCCTGGCAGCCACGCTGCATCTCACTGCTGCTGCTATGTAAGCCCATCTACCAGCCTGTTCCAGAGACTCATAGATAAATCTAGAAAAAGATCGACTAGCCGCAAAAATTTCTGGGACTCCCATTCCTGGCTGAGACCTCCTGGGTGATCACAGAGAGGGGTAGGCCAGCTGCCACCCAAACAAAGCCCCAGCAGCTGCTCCAGCAGCCCAAAGCCACCACCATGGCTGCAGCCAGACTGCCCAGTGAAATATTCTGGATTTTCTGGAGTGTGCAGCCTTCTCCAGACTCTACAACACTGACATCCCAGAAGGAGCACACCAGATTAGAGGGGATGTGACACAGAAGGCAACCGAATCTCAACGAGAAGAAGGCTTAACTTGCAACAACAGCGTAGTAAGCCCTTAGGCAAGGACTTAATGTCCCCACGGTGAGATACAACACGTTTTACAAATTTTTTTCTATGGAAATATTTTTTTGATCATTCTGTTAGCCATTTAATAGTAATAAGCAATATAAAATAAATTACTGTGGATCTGCTGCGGGGGCAGGCTTGAGGGGTATCTGGGAAAATGGAGACGATGATGGAGGGAAGGTGACAGGGTGGTGGGATTGGTTTTGGATTATGGAATGCCTGTAACAAATCATCACAACAACTTTGTAAACCACAGTGTTAAAATAAAGTGGGAGGGAAAAGTAAGACAAGGTTCACCTGGCATATGGGACAGGCAGTGAAGGAGATTCCAGGGAGATGGAGCTTGTGCGTGGGGCCTCCCGGCAGAGTGTGCTGTGCATGGGGCAAGTTCAGTGGCCACATGTGCAAGGGAAGGGAGGATGGAGCAGAGATGACCTTTGGCGTGAGGGCTCACTTACGCTGTTGGGGAGTTTGCGTTTTCTCCTGTGGACCGTGGAACAGTTTGAAACAGGAAAGGGATGTCATCAGGTCTATAGATTTGGGGGTGGGGGTTTGGGGACTATCCCAGAAGTGCCGGGGGCTACCAGGCCCACACTGGACAGTGCTTGGGAGGCCATGCAGTGGGTGAGATTGACCGGAAATTCCAGCCCTTGGAACAGTCTCCCACTCCTAGGTCTGTGAATTTCAAGGGAGATTGACAGCAGAGGAGGAGGGGAAAAAAACAGAACTAGGATATTGCAGTCGAAAACTCCTCCAAGGCTGGGACATGGCTCAGGGCTGGGGGACAAGCTTCACATGCAGGAGCCCCAGGTTCAAGTCCTGGTACCACATAGCCCCCTACAAACACCACTAGAAGCAACCTACCCCCAAGTACAGAGCTGGGAGGAGCCTCCAGCACTGCCAAATGTGACCCCCAAAATAGAACTAATAAGGGGAAATAAAAGCTTCTCTGATGAGTCCCCGGTCTGTGCATAGAAGTTTCTGGAGGCTGCTGAGCTCTTCTGTGAGGTGGGGCAGTATCTCTTTACTGGCTCCTCAGTGGGCTGTGCAAGCTCTGGGTCAGCCGTTGCTTTTTTCTGTAGCTGCTCTATCGCCTGGCAGCAGGATGGGGAACACGCCAGGAATGTTCATTTCATGGTCAAGGGCTGTCATCCTCCGGGCATGCTCAGACCTTCCCCCAAAAGCATCCAGCTCAGATTCTGATCTCTGTGTGGCCTCTAACTCTATGAGCCTGGCTGTCCTGTGGGAACTGGTCAGTGGCTTGTGTTGAATTTATTCCTTTCTTTTTCTTTCTCTTTTTAGTTTTTGGGCCACCCCAGCTGTGCTCAGAGCTTACTCCTGGCTCTCTGTTCAGGGATCATGCTTGTGTGGCTCAGGGACTATGTGGGGTACCAGGGGTCAAACCCAGGTCCGCTGCATGCAAAGCAAGAACCTTAACCTCTGTACTGTCATTCCAGCCTGGATATTTTTATCCTAGAAGGACAGACAGAAGCATCTTTCCTGTATGAGCCTCCTTTCTGAGCTAGGGTGCTGGAACAAGGGGTGAAAGATTAGACAGTATCCGTCACCTGATTTTCTGCCTCCCAACTTTGAAGCATGATTGGCTAAGAGGATACTCCTTGGAACAAGCTCATACATTGCACCTATGACATGGGACATGGGTCCAGGGAATAGAAAAGCCTTCTCCTGGCTTGGCAACTGAAAGATTCTATCACAGATCCCTTTGAGAAGGGAGAGGGCTCCTGTCTCGATGCATTTCAGCACCATCCTCTGCTTCGAAGGCTGTGCAGTGCCAGGCGGGATCTGGCACAGGACTCCCTCCCTCCCTCCCTCCCTCCCTCCCTCCCTCCCTCCCTCCCTCCCTCCCTCCTTCCTTCCTCCCTTCCTTCTTTTCTTCCCTCATCCCTCCCTCCTTCCCTCCCTCCCTCCCTCCCTCCCTCCTTCCTTCCTTCCTCCCTTCCTTTTCTCCCCTCATCCCTCCCTCCCTCCCTCCCTCCCTTCTTTCTTCTCCTTCCTTCCCCCTCCCTCCCTTCCTTTCTTCCTTTCTCCCTCCTTCCCTTCACTTCCCTCCCTCTCTCCCTTCGTTTCTTTCTTTCTTCTTCCCACTTCTGGCCAGGACTTATCCAGAGCCTGGAATCTGCTCTGACAGATGACCTTGCTGTCGGGGAATTTACTTGCTGCTACAGATGTAGGAGTGAACACATTTCTCTTTCTATACTCTGTTTCTGAAGTTAGAGGCCACTTTCTTTAAAAACAATTTTAAAATGTCTGCCCAGACTTTCAGAACAAAATGAGACATTCAGCTGAATTAGTAACTTGAGGGGTTCTTAAAAATGTTCTTTCTTCTAACCCAGACCAGTGCAGGTGAACAGATTGATTCTCCATAGGAAGGGCTTTGCTTGGGCGCCATCTGGCTTCAGAGGAGGATTTGCTTGTTGGGGTGTTCGTTTAACTTGACCAACACTAGGTGCCTGCGACAGCCTCGGGGACTCAGGGGAAGGGGCAGCAGCCCTGCTCTCAGCTCACAGCTCCCTTATTCACATCAATCTCTCACTTAGCGTTGCTTTTACCAGATGTAATGCCAAAGGTCAATTTTGACTCTTTAGGGTTTTTTGTCCTATGGATAACTTATCCATTAGCTTGAGCAAAATATCCTTAAAATATAACTTGGTATAGTAAGGAAATAACAAATGGCCCAGAGTAACAGAATCTGTTAACTAATCTATAGAACTGAGCTTACCACCATGTGGAAACAGTAGGGGGAAAATGTCTGGGGGCCAGGGTTGGGAGGGGGGTTCCTGGGACAGTGGTGATGGGAAGCAGAACACAGGCAGAGGGTGTGGGACTGGAATGTTGTATGCATGAAACCCTGCCAGTGACAGTATTGTAAATCATGGTGGTTAAAGCATTTAGAAAAAAATATGTATCTTTAAAGTAGAGAGAAACAGGTCAGATTTGTGTGAGAGAGGTGTGTCCATACATACGTTCAATTCATAGCCTTCATCATCTTCATCACCTTCCCTTCAGAATCTTCAGACCCCATCACCTTTACCACCTTCCCTTTGTGTCTCAACCTCTTGAACTGTTTTGTTCATTCTTCACCCCAGCTACAGAGATCCGTGGTGGCCTCAGGGGAAAAGCAGTTGCCCGTGGAGTACCGCATCAGCAAGAGGTAAGAGGGGTCCCCCTGGTAAGGGTCCTTGTCACACCAACCACATATCGCGCGCGCACACACACACACACACACACACACACAGGCCAGTGCAAGACTGATGAATGTTAATAGCAGCAGCCGTCCAGCTGCCGGCAGGGATGCAAGTCTATGAACCCTTCAGCATTTGGTCCCCAAGACTTCATCTTAGTGACTGACCTGGGCAGACTGAACACCTTCTGTGCTCCCCAGAACCTTAAAGCAAATGTAAAGGCTGTTTCTCATTTTTTATACCACCTTGATTTGAATGTGTTACTCTCTTATGAGCTCTAAGAACACTGTTGCTTTCTTGTCTAGGGAATTTCTATCAACCTGACAGACACAGCTTGTGTGCACCTGTGCAAGAATGAATGAGTTGCTTCTTTCTTATGGAGCAAAGCAGCGGTCTGCACTTCCCACCAGGCTGAGCTCTTAATTCAGAGCTCCAAGAGGCTCGCTCTCTTTCCATGGGGAACACTCTCCTTTCTGTGGAATCTCTCTTCTGATTCTGTCCTTTCTGTGGGGACCGCCACAAGACATCCAGGAAAAGAGACTGAACCCAGCTCTTGGACCTTTGGCCTGTGCTCATTTGTCAGAATTGCAGAGATCTTTCTAGGCTCTATGGCAAATGCTGACACATTGCTTGCAAAGCACTTTCAGAGGCATTGTGTGTCATGGTCTTCACAGGTCTATGAGGTAGATTACTGCAGTCATCCCCATTTTGCAAATGAACACAGTGAACTTTAGAAAGGTTAAAAGTTTAATCCTGTGATAAGGATTGGGAACTGGTCTTCTTACTCTCGATCAAAAGTTTTCCAAATTCACTCCACTTCCTTGGGCGAGATGTCTCTAAAAATTGGCTTCTTTGAGTTTCTCTCAGTCCCCCTTACCTCTCAGTGCTTGGTAAGCACTCTCTGCAGGATTCGTGCACTGGGTGTGGCCTTCAGCAGGTATTGAGCATATTGCATAAGTGAAAGTGAGAATGTTCAGAAAGAGGGCGGACACAGGGCAGATTTGATCTGAGAAACACACAAGTTAAAGCACATTCATGGTTATCATCTTGTCCATCCTCATTGTTCCCTCTTTCCGTTCCCTCCCTCCCTCCCTCCCTCCCTCCCTCCCTCCCTCCATCCCTCCCTCCCTCCCTTCTTCCCCCTCCCTTCCACCCTCCCTCCCTCCCTCCATCCCTCCCACCCTCCCTTCCTTCCTTCCCTCCCTCCCTCCCTTCTTCCCCCTCCCTTCCACCCTCCCTCCCTCCCTCCATCCCTCCCACCTTCCCTTCCTTCCCTCCCTCCCTCCCTCCCTCCCTCCCTCCCTCCCTCCCTCCTTCCTTCCTTCCTTCCTTCCTTCCTTCCTTCCTTTTTCTTTCCTTCCTTCCTTCCTTTCTTCCCTCCCTTCCTCCCTCCGTCCCTCCCTCCCTCCCTCCGTCCCTCCCTCCCTCCCTCCCTTCCTTCCTTCCTGCTTTCTGCCTACAGTTGAGATCATTCATTTATTCACATGCATGAGTCTCTGCTGGCCTCCTTCCTCTGACCCCGCACCCTGTGATGTGTTTCAGTGCTTGGCTGAAGGACACAGTTGACCCAGTGCTGGTGACTCTTGACCACCGTATCGCTGCCCTCACAGGCCTCGATGTGCAGCCTCCCTATGCCGAGTATCTTCAGGTGGTCAACTATGGAATCGGGGGGCACTATGAACCTCACTTCGACCACGCGACGGTAACAGTGGGGCCCAGGCTCTCCCCTTGGGAGGGAACTAGGGTGTTGTATATTTCTCTGAGGCGGAGCTCTTATAAGTGACATCTTAGAAAGGAGTTGATTGTTCCAGAAAGCAACAAATTCAAAAGCCATGGTTGTAAGCCAGTTGTTGCCCACACATCTCCTGGGCCTCTGCCCCACTCTCAGAAACTGGTTAGAGGGGAGACGACTATGAGAAGACTGTGCTGGAATTTCTCTAGTTTCCTGGCAGCCTTTTCTCCCTCTTTCTTCTTCTCTCACCATCTCTATCTTTGTCGATGGCTATTCAGAAAATACGTTTTGTTTTGGAGTCACACCCAGCATTGCTCAGGGCTTACTCCTGGCTCTGTGCTCAGGGATCACTCCTGGCAGAGCTCAAGGGACCCTGTGGGGTGCCAGGGATTGAACTGGGTCAGCCACATGTAAAGCAGGCACTGTATTCATTGTACTATTTCTCCAGCCCCTGTAAATACTTTTTTGGGGATTAAAAAGGTAACCTTGGGCAGGAGTTGTGGCTTGAAGGTAAATTCATGTCTAGCAAGTGTGAGTCCTGAGTTCCAGCACTGGCACCCTTTGCTCAGTGCTGAAAGGAGTGGCACTGGGCTCCAGGTACTGCTGAGTGCCACTCATAGTGCCACTCAAATGCTGAGTGCCATTTATATATTAAAATTTATATATTAATATTTAATATATAAATATTAATATAAAAACTTTAGTATTTCCTCAAAATTGGCCAAAGATTCAGCTCAAACTTTATGAGAATTATAGACTTGGGATTTTTTCGTAGAAATAGATTGGTTAAATGTTGTGTGAATATTCGTTCAGTTGGAGATGCTGAGACAAGGAACGAGAGAAAAATTTATGTCATGGAGGGTCCAGGTTCTCTCAGACCCTGTGACAAAGGTAAAGAGCCCCGAAATCTCCGTTTATTTATTACTGTCCTACTGTTCATACTCTAAAGGGCTCAATAGAGTGATGTCATCAAAAGAAGTTACAGAAAGAACACTGAGGCAGGCAAAGCATGTATTGTTTTCTGGAGTCTGCAGGCCTGTGCATTTTGGCCTAAGGAAAGAGCTGCACAACCTAAACTGAAACCTTTCCTGGGTGGGCTACAAGTATTTGAAATTTGTATCCCAAAGACTAGGCTGGGCCAGAGCCTGGAATCTACATGTTAAAGGTCAGCCTGGGCTTCTGTGAGAAGAGGAAAAATTGATTCAATATCCTGAAATTTATGAAATTATTTATTGAAGGCAGCTTAAAGGACATTGATATTCAGCTTTGTCCAAACCAGTCAGGATGCATGAGAAATCGTGCCCATTTTCATGGATCTCTATGTTCCTGCCCATTGTGTGGTACAGTCTACATGGGCTCATCCTGACAGCTCAGTCTAGCCCCAACAGTTAAACCTAAAATATCAATAAAAAGAATATAGAGCAGCAAAGAGTTTTGTAAAAGAATAAAGTTAGAGGACACACACTCCCTGATTTCAAACATAGCACAGAGCTGTAGTAATCGGCGTGTGGTGTAAGATAAACACATAGGTCAAAGAGGCATTTCCAAGTGCAGAAAGAAACCCACACGTGTATGGACAGATGATTTTGGGGGGAGAAAAAGTACTGGAGTTGGATAGTCCAGTGGGTAGGGCACTTGCCTTGCCCAGCCCATGTGGCCCCCTGAGCACTGCCAGAAGTGATGTTTGAGTGCAGATCCAGGAGTAAGGCCTGAGCACTGCCAAGCATGGTCTGAAAAAGGAAAGAGAAAAGAAAAAAAGTTGCAGGGGTCAAAGCAATATATTGGCCAGTGGGAAGGGCTGTTACTTTGCCTGTGGCCAACGCTGGTTTGATCACCGACATCCCACATGGTCTTCCCAAACGCCACCAGGATTGAGCCCAGAGCATTGCCAGCTGTGACCCCAAAACAGACAAACTATTTTTTTAAGTTCTAAGGAAATTTAATGAGAGAAGAAAGCAGTCTTTTCCACAAACGGTGCTAAAATTGTATACAGTTGGATATCTGTCTGCAAAATGAACAGTTTATATCCTTGCCTCAGAACATATAAACAATTATATGAAAAGACTCATAGGCTTAAATATTAAATATGACTATACAGCTGTTAGAAGGAAACATATAATCTTTTTTTTTTCTTTTTGGGTCACATCTGGTGATGTTCAGGGGTTACTCCTGGCTCTACACTCAGGAATTATCCCTGGCTGTGCTCAGGGGACCATATGGGATGCTGGGAATCGAACCCGGGCTGGCCACTTCCAAGGCAAACGCTATACCCACTGTGCTATTGCTCCAGCCCACATGTAATCGTTTCAAAATTTAATTTAGTTCATTTATTTTCATTGTGTGTTGTTTTTGTTTTGTTAGCACAGCGGGTAGGGCGTTCGCCTTACAAGCGGCCAAGATGGCCGACCCGAGTTCGATTCCTCCTCCCCTCTCAGAGAGCCCAGCAAGCTACCGAGAGTATTCGATATGCCAGACACAGTAACAACAAAGTCTCCAATGGAGACGTTACTGGGCCCGCTCGAGCAAATCGACGATCAACGGGAGGGCCTTTACCTTTACCTTTACCTTTTGTTTTGTTTAGTTACTGTGAGATAGAGAGTTATAAAGTCAATCATAGTCAGGTTTTAGTCATACTGTGTTCCAACACCCATCACCCTGCCAGTGTACATTTCCCACCACCAGTGTCCCCAGGTTCCCTCCCAGCACCTTACCCCCAGCCTGCCTCTTTGGCAGGCACTTTCCTTCTTTCTCTCTGTCTCTGTTTCTGTCTCTGTCTCTCTCTATGTCTCTCCCGTTTGGGGCATTAAGGTTTGCAATACCGGTACTGAAAGTTTATCATGAGAAGCATACAATCTTTGTGACTATAGGACAGGCCAAGAGTTCCTAGTATACCAAAGTATGAATCCTAACATAAAGAAGGTGAGAAATCATTCCTCATCAACATCACAGCTGGGGCTGGGAGGCGGCGGGGTCTGGAGGCGTGATGCACGCGGGGACAGGCTCCACTCCCGGCTCCAGCAGCAAACCCCATTCTAGGAGTAGCTCCCAAGCACTGCCCGGAGTGCCCCTCAAACACACAGGGAAAAAACAGTAAATTAAAGTCAGGGTCCAGGCCCGTGCCTCCGGTGGGGCGCTGCCTTCCTGCGTGCAGCTGTGCCCTAGCACCCCTTACCCCATCAGCTGTGATTGAACTTATCTCCCATCTGAAACCCCATTTTCCTCTTCTCTGTAGTGTGGTGGAACCCTGGCTGCCAATTAGGTGCCGTTAGCATAAAAATGATGTTTTATTTCTAATCCTAGTCACCCACCAGCCCGCTGTATAGAATGAAGTCTGGAAACCGAGTCGCAACGTTTATGATCTATGTGAGTCTTGCTTGGGAGGAACTGGGGCTTCCTTCTAAGGGTATAAATTAGTTAATTTATTTTCATTTATTTTCAGCACTGTAGCACTGTCCTTCCATTGTTCATCGATTTTCTTGAGCAAGCACTAGTAACGTCTCCATTGTGAGACTTCTTACTGTTTTTGGCATATTGAATACGTCACGGGTAGCTTACCAGGCTTTGTTGTGCGGGTGGAATACTCTCAGTAGCTTGCCAGACTCTCTGAGAGGGGCAGAGGAATCGAACCCAGGTCGGCCTTGTGCAAGGCAAACGCCCTACCCGCTATGCTATCGCTCTGGCCCGTGTGTGTGTGTGTGTGTGTGTGTGTGTGTGTGTGTGTACATATATACACTTTTTGATCTACGGCTTTCAAAGCATTTTAAAATCTGGATTTGATGATACTCTGCCCAGAAATCCCAGGAATGTTTTGAATTTTAGGCAGTGTTGTTCAGCCCCACAGGATGTACAAAGAACACACCGGAGGGCGCCATCTCCAACAGGGTGTAGGGGGTGGGGGGACAACAGTGTCACCGTCTGCAGTCTGCAGTGGCTAGTCCAGGATCTGGGGTGACATGGAAGGCAGTAGGGAGGTGGGTTGGGAGAGGAGTGGAAGAGGGACTCCCCCCTTCCCGTGGCCCTGGGCACAGACCCGGCGCCCCGGGCAGGCTCCCTTAGCTTCCACACTGCTTGTGCCTCCAAATCCCCCGCCCAGTGCAGAAACAGAGGATGAAGTGATGCTGGCAGTGGGGGGACAGGGGGTGCCTCCGGGGCTCCTTCATTTCTATCTCTTCCTCTGGCAGCTGAGTTCCGTGGAAGCGGGAGGAGCCACGGCCTTCATCTATGCCAACTTGAGCGTGCCCGTGGTGAAGGTGAGTGGGGCGCTGCTCCCCACTGTGGCTCTGAGTGTGCAGAACCAGGCCCCTGGCAGCCTCGTTCCTTGGGGAGAGGGGAACAGTCAAAGCGAGTCCCCCCACTTGCCGCCCTCAAAGCATGCAGTCTCGTTGACCCGCCTGCGTTACTTGTGCCTGATTCTTTGTTTGAGCCCTGAGGGCCTGCTGCCCGCCTTCCTGTCTCTCCTGGGGGCAGCTGCCCTGAGGCCTCTCCTTTGCCCATGCTGTGCTGTGCCCGGAGGGACGGAGTCTCACGGGGTGCCCGAGGATGTGGAGGAGAGCGTTAGCTGCTGGTTCTCACAGGAAGATGGACAGTCACAGCCCGGTGTGTTTGTTTGCAGAACGCTGCGTTATTTTGGTGGAACCTGCACAGGAGTGGTGAAGGGGATGAGGACACGCTCCACGCCGGCTGTCCGGTCCTGGTGGGAGACAAGTGGGGTGAGCTGGCCTTTCTGGGTGGGGAGAAGGGGAGGTGTCCCGAGGAAGGTGAAAGACCAGGTGGATGGAAACTCACACTTCTGGTCTCAAAGCCTCAAGGGCCTGTGGAGATGAGCTGCTCGTGCCCCCAGCTGATTTGGGGGTGGCGGGGGGAGCATTAAGGGCAGAGCTCCTGTGACAGGGCAGCTGTCCTCATAGTGTAGTGTCCTGGCAGACCTCGATTCGTGAGCCAAGCTGCAGCCCTCCAGCCCGAGGAGACCGTTACCCCTTCATCAGCCTGTCGGTGCCAGTGACCAGAACCACTTGGTGTCTATTTCTCCTCAAAGAGGAGACAAACAAGCAGGGAATGTGCCCGTGGCAGGTTTGTCCCAGAGCACTTCGCTTTGGGGGTTTTTGTTGGTTTGTTTTGGGCCTTTTCGGTCACACCTGGCTTATGCTCAGGGGTTATTCCTAGCTCTGCACCCAGAAATTACATACCATTTGGAATGCCGGGAATCGAACCCTGGTCAGCCTCTTTCAAGGGAAACACCCAACCCGCTGTACTATATCTCTTCAGCCCCAAGAGCACCTAGCTTTGAATGCAGGAAAAAAAAAAAAGAAAGAAGAAAGGCTGTTAAAAACCTATTTCTAGATACTTGGGAGATAATTCAAAGGTTAAGGCCCTTATTTTAAGTCACTGAAAAAAAGTCACTTGCCTGGTTTGATCCCTGATCCCTGGCACTGCCTATGATCTTCTGAGCGGGAGTAAGCCCTGGGTGCTGCTGGTGTGGCCCCCAAACAGGAGGATAAGTTGGAGAGGAGCCTGCATGCTGAGATTTTTTTTCTGGAATGGCACCATAGGGTGGCGCTATTCAGAACTACGGGAATGAAGGGAGAAGGGGCCTTAGTACTCCAGGTGTGCAAAGGTTAGTCAGGAGGGGAAAGGGCCCGCTGGGCACGTCGTCCCCTGGAAGACAGTGTCTGCTGCCGGAAGTGGGCTGGCCCAAGGCTGCAGTGCGAGCCTGGGGCTCAGCATTCAGGGACACCCATGAGCGAGGCCTCTGTCCGCCCTGCTGACCTGCTCTTTCTCCTCCCACCCACTCCCAGTGGCCAACAAATGGATCCATGAGCACGGACAGGAGTTCCGCAGACCCTGCAGCCCACGGCCCAGAGGGTAAAGGCGTGGCAGAGAGTAGCTGCTGACTCCTGTGGCTTTGCAGAGACGCCAAAGCTGGGCGGAGGAACAGTAGAGCGGCAGCCTGGGACACAGCCTTGTCTGTCGGCTCTGCAGCTGGGTGACGGGGACCTGCTCTTCTGCAGGGGACATGGGGGAATTGTCATCGCTTATCCTCAGGGCACGAGAGCCTAAGCAGAACCCATGATCCAATAGAGCGGACATTACAGAGGGAGAAGTTTCTGGAGCCCAGACACTCCCTTGGCACCAGGTCCTCTGTCTCTGGCCTCTCTGAAGCTTGCCCACAGTGGCCAGAAGAGACCCGGAGGACACCCACTGCAGCGGGCCCACTGTGTGCCTTCAGAGCTGTCTCCCCTCTGACTTCAGAAGACCCAGCGAGGACCATCTCTGGTCAGGACTGTACCTCAGATGGCTCTTTTTTTTTTTCTTTTAAGCAGGAAGCAACTTTTAAAATATAAATATATTTTTAATACAATTCCGAAGTATGTTTATGAATCATTTTCTTCAACCAAGAATATTGTTACAGGGGCCAGAGAGACAGGACAATGGTCAAGGCAAGTCTTGTCTTGCTTGTGGCCAACCCAGGTTCGATCCCCAGCACCCGAAATGGTCTTCTGAGCCCCACCAGAAGTGATTGCTGAGCATTGCTGGGTGTGGCCCCCAAACTAATAAGGATATTGTCACCTTAAAACACTGATTGAACAAAGCCAACAGTACCACTTGGTTTATGCTCTAATCACATTCTGCTCATGCCCACCGTACCCCTTGCGTCACTCTTGACACAGTACATTCCGTGGGGTCCTCACAGACGGGATACTCGGACTCATGATATCCTTACGGTTCCTCAGACACTTGTCATTCTTTTATCCCTCAGACACATGTCACTCCTGTGGTTCCTGAGACACAGGCCATTCCTATTGTTCCTCAAAGCCAGGAAACTCATCGCCATCAGGTTCAGCCCTGGACACTGGCCTTTGCACCCGCTGCCCTCAGTCCCGCTCTGCCTGTGTTCTCCTCCTCCTCCTCCCATCCTGAGTCCGTGTCACTTCCTGACACCCACCATCAGCCTCCACCCACTTTCTCTCCCATTGACCAGTTTCATCTCCTTTGTGATTGTCTCCTATTGAGGTGTCTTGATCCCTGTGACTCACATAGCCATAGCCCACCCAGCAGGTCGAGTGCTTTTGCCCCCAGTACGGGATGTTTGTCTATGCTTCTGGCTTGGCCCCATCACACCATTGTCTGTAGTTGTGGGTCTGCCTGAGATGCGTCTCAGTGCTGGGCTCCCTGTTCTCCCTGGTATCCACAGCAGGAAGTCCGATTCAAATACAGAGGCATTCAGCCGATGGATAAATGGATAAGAAGGCGTCCGTTGGGCACCTATCAGAGGTCAGGTTTTCAAAGGCGGAGATTGTGAGAAAAGTTTGTGCTTAGAGAAGTGGCGTGACTGGGTGACGTGTGTGTTTGAGGACGATGCAGAGAGAACATTCCTGATGATGTGGCTCAGCTTTATCAGCCTGGCCGGTCTGTGCTGCCCTCACAGAGAAGCCACAACTCCAGTGCTATGCAGGACAGGTTGGGCTCCCTCACTCCATCCACGTCCTGGACGGCAACATTTCTGCCACAGATCTGAGTCCCTCAAGGAAGGCCACGATGCCATATGCTGACACTCAGCTTCTCCCAGAGAAGCCTCTGTTCAAATCTCCAGTGTTTCTGTTGAATGACCCAGGATTCTGGAAACAATCTTACTTGAATGTTACCATGCAGGAAAGAACAAGTCCTTTTATTTATTTTCTTTTTGGCTTTTTTGGGTCAGACCCGGCAATGCACAGGGATCACTCCTGGCTTTTCACTCAGGAATTACTCCTAGTGGTGCTCAGGGGACCATATGGGATGCTGGGAATCGAACCCGGGTTGGCCGTGTGCCAGGCAAAAGCCCTACCCGCTGTACTATGGCTCCAGCCCTAGAACAAATTCTTTTTTCCTCAGAATTCTTAGCTGAAACTTCAGTAATAAGAACATAAACAGACAGACATGAACATCTGCCTCTCTTAGGCACTACCCTGGGAAAATGAGTCAGTGCGAGTGAGTGGTTGAGAATTGAGAAATAAATCCCATCCTGATAGTGAAAGGGAAAAAGACATGGGCCTCCTGGGAGAGGCTGATATCCAGGGAAGGTGACTGGGGCCTTAGGGTAGTATGTCACTTACCCATCTGGGTGTGGCCTCCACCTGTGATCTCCTCGTGGACAAGGGCCCATTTATCTCAGAAAATCACCTGGAAAGAGGTTTATGATATGGGCAGAGCAGGAAGTTCAGAGAGATCCTTTCTTTGCATTTACTCTCCTGCTAGTACCTACAGCTCACAGCCTTCCACAAAGCAGCAGTATTTGGGGGACAGCAAGCAAGCTGCCCTGTCCAGCTGCAGGAGAGGCCCTGACAGACAGCCGCTGTCTGTCTGCTTGCTTCACGGAGGTGGGAACGAGCTGTGTGACAGAGTTTCATGATGAACACTTGCGAGCCTTGTATCAGCCATGTAGTGACGTCATGCTCCTCATAACCCCACAAGGTGGAACCAGCGATGCAGCCTTGCAGGTCCTTCCCATGCAGCTCCAGGTGCTCAGTAGAGACACAGAAATGGGGAGGAAGAGCTTAAACAGCAGCAAGCCAGCAGCTCAAAAGACGGGGTGCACACATTCTAGAGCAGGGCCCATCGCTAAAGGTCTTCCACCTGCAACCGCCCTTTGGCCCCAGGAGTGCACCGAGACTGAGCTCTGCCAAAAACACCCTGACACACTTGCTTTGGGATTGATGTCCCCTCATTGCACATTCAGAGCATTTTACTGAAGCCTCAAGTTCAATCCCCAGTACCACCCCCACCCCTGGTCCTGCTGTGCTGAACCCCAGTGCTGCCACCAAGTGTGTGTCCCTCAGCACAAAGCAACGACAAAAAAAGAAAAAGAAAGGAAAGAAATGAAACATGGATACTGGAAGAGGAGCGCCCACGGCTTAGGTGGCTGAGAGGGGGCACAGCTGAGAGGAGGGCGGGGAGCTGCTGCCCCTGGCCCAGTGGGCAGAGCCACATATAGGCCGGAAGTGGGAGGTGCTGGTCCGGGGCTGCCATCCAGCTGCACAAGCAGCTCTTTCACAGAGCCCCTCAAAGAGCCCCTGTTTGGGGTTGGCTGCCCCTGTTAGGAGAGGGGGGTGAGGGGAGATGCGGGCGGGTGTTGGGGGCAGTGGCTGCAGGTTACTGTTCACTCAGTGAATGAGGAAATCAACTCCAGACTGGGGGAGGGAACCCACAGTGGAGCCCACTCTGCCAGCCGTTTTAGTTTCTTTATCGTCTTCAAAATCAATTTCCGTCCCCCGGGCAAAGAGGAAAGGGGCATCCAAGAAAATAAAAACCAATGTACCTAGCTGGCAGCTAGAGGCGGAGCCAGGACGAGGATAAGGCCATCTCTATTCTCTGCTGCTTCCAGCTGTTCTGTCCCTCAGAGTTTCCTTGGTACCAACTGGCACAGGTTGGCACCGCCCAACTGGCACAGGTACTGGCACCTTCTGGCAGGTACTGGCACCGCCTGGCAAGTTTGGCACTGCCTGGCAAATCGGACCTGTCCTTTGTCACTCTGAGGAGTCCCCCTTTGCAGCTGGGGCAAATCACCAGCAAGCTGATGACCTTCATTTTCACCCTGTTCTCTCAGATCGGGCCTAGAAGCAAGCTTGGCATAGGTTGGCATGGGCTGGCATAGGTTGCCATTGATGGCTTGGGCTGGCACATGTTGACATATGATGGAACCATCTAGTACGTGTGAGGAGCTTCTATTTGGAGCTGCTGTCCTAGTCTGCTCATCCCTCTCTCAGTGTTAGCTCTTCTCTATACTGGCCTGGGTGTCAGCTGGTTTGTCAGCAATGTCACCTTTCACCTTGGGCAAACCACCTGCCTTACCACCTTCCCTTTCCTCATCTGTCTGCCATCCCTGCTCCATGGAGGCGCGGGGAGACCTCAGAATGATACCTCTTACACTAAGTATCAGGGTCACCCGTCATCCTGTGGCATCGTCATTGATGGGCTGGAGGAAGCTTTCTCCCCATCACGCAGTGACTACTGGGCGCCTGTTCTCTCCTCCAGCTCTCAGGGGCCAGCTGTGGGGTTCGACTAAGGTTCTGAGGCTGCGCCTGGCCAGGGGCTGGGCTTTCTAGCAAACTGCTGCGAGAGGAAGCCAGCTCTAGGAACAGGAGCCTCTTGTGTTTACCTAAGGCCCTGAGCCCCACACGCACGACTGAGAATGTGTTGATTCTGGCTGCCGTCGAGGCGGCTGACTGGGGCCAAGTGCTGGCTTGGAGATGAACATTCTACTGTGTGACTGCCTTCTGCCTTTTCTCCTCCGGCCATCAAACTCACAGTGCTTTTCCTTGGTAACATCTTCACCAGTTGACTCCCCATGACAGGTCCTTGAATACAATTGAAGAGTCCTGGGCCCTCATGAGCCAAATCAGATCCATCTATCCTCTTCATTGCATCTCCAAGTTACTGAGACTGCCTATCTGGCATCCCAGAAGCCCCTGTCCTAGTGAGGTGGACTTTGGCTTTTCCATCTTCCCTCCCTGCCCTAATCCATAGACACAGGATACCAAGGGACTTTTGAACCTGGGGAGGGGGAGAAGCAGGCCTGGGGATTTAATCCAGGGCCTCACACAGGTGAGCCATGTGATCTGACACTGAACCACATCCTGAGCTTCCAAAGAATATTTTTGTTATTGTTTTTGGACCACACCCAGTGGTGCTCAGTGCTAGGGGTTGGGGGTAGAATTCCTGGAATTGAAACTGGCCCTTGTCCACACTGATCATGTGCTCTATCACTTGAGTCATCTCTCCAGACCATTGCATATTTTTTAACAATGCATGTGTCACACAATTAGAAAGACATGGAAGGAGGGATGCCTACCCATTCAGGATGAGTTTGGCTTCTGAGAAGTTATGGTCAATGAAGCAATACCC